CGACCTCAAAGGCGGGAATTATGAATTTCTGCTAAGTAGCAGGTGTGTATTTAAAAAATTGAAAAAATAAAAGAGATAAGACTTCACTTGTACCCCGAGTTTATGGAACCATTTCGTATTCAGTGTCATCATAAATAGCACAACAATATGGTAACTTTATATATCTCTAGAATTTAAATTTTTAAGAATTTTATGTAGTATCCTTCTTTGTCTCTTACTATAGCTTTTGTTTTAAAATCTATTTTGCCAGATATAAGTATTGCTACCCCAGCTTTTTTTTCACTTCCATTTGCATGAAATATCTTTTTCAATACCTTTTTTTAATCCTCACCTCCTGAGGATATGTTTATTGATTTCAGAGAGAGGGGGAGGGAGGGAAAGAGAGAGAGAAAGTGAGAGAGAGAGAGAAACATTGATGTGAGACAGAAACACTGATTGGTTGCCTATACGCACCCCAACCAGGCATCTAACCTACAGTCTAGGTATGTACCCTGACCAAGAATTGAACCTGCAACCTTTTGGTGTATTTTCGGTGTATGGGATAATGCTGCAATCAACTGAGCTACTCAGCCAGGGCCATCTCTTTACTTGAAGTCTGTGTGATTTTTTGTTCTGAGGTGAGTCTCTTATAGACAGCATATATATGGGTCTTGTTTTCTTATCCATTCAGTTGCCCTATGTCTTTCTATTGGAGCATTTAAACCATTTACAGTCAAAGTGACTATTGATAGGAGGTATTTATTGCCATTTTATTATTTATAACTATGTTCTGTTTTCTCCTCCTCCTCCTTCTTTAGGAAGACCCTTTAACTTAATTTCTTGTAATACTGGTTTTGTGGTAATGTACTCCTTTAAGCTTTTCATTTTCTGGAAAGCTCTTTTATTTCCCCCTTTAAATGATAGCTTTGCTAGGTAAAGTAGTCTTGGTTGTAGGTCCTTGCTTTTCATCACTTGAAAATTCTTGCCAACCCCTTCTGGCCTGAAATGTTTCTTTGAGAAATCAGCTGACAGTCTTATGGAAGCTCCCTTGTATGTACCTGTCTTTCTCTTGCTGCTCTAAGATTCTCTTTATCATTAACCTTTGCCATTTTCATTATGATGTGTCTTGGTATGGGCCTCTTTAGGTTCATCTTGTTTGGGACTCTCTGCACTTCCTAAATTTGTGTGCCTTTTTTCTTCACCAGGTTAGGGAAGTTTTCAGACATTATGTCTTCAAATAGGTTCTTGACCCCTTGCTATCGCTCTTTTTCTGGTACCCCTATGATGCAGATATTGTTACACTTCATATTGTCCCAAAGATCCCTTAAACTATTCTCTTTTAATTCTTCTTGCTTCTTTGATTGGGTATTTTCTGCTATGTTGTCTTCCAAATCACTGATTCAGTCCTCTGCTTCATTCAACTTACTGTTTATTTCTTCTAGTGTATTTTGTTGTTGTTAATCCTCATCTGAGGATATTTTTTTCATTGCTTTTTGAAAGAGTAAATGGAGGAAGAGAGAGAGAGAGAAACATCCATGTGAGACACATCAATTGGCTGCCTCTTGCATGATCCCTGACCAGGGCTGAGGATCAAACCTGCAACCTAAGTACATGTCCTTGACCAGGAATCAAACCTGTGACCCTTTGGTGTATAGGCCAATGCTCTAACCACTGACCCACACTTGCCAGGGCCTTCTAGTATATTCTTCATTTCTGACTTATTCTTTTTTTTTTATGGTTTGTATGTCCCTTTTCATTCTGTTGAAATTCTCATTAAGTTTCCTTTAGCATTCTTACAAACTTTTTTTTTTTTTTTTAAACTCTATGCTAGTAAATTGCTTGCCGCCATTTCATTTAGCTCTTTTTCTCAGAGATTTCTCCTTTCCTTTCGTTTGGAGCATGTCTCTTTGTCTTCCCATTTTGGCTGCCGTTGTGTTTGTTTCTATGTATTAGGTAGATATAACAGTTTTGGTAGGGTGGCCTTATGTGGGAACCCAGTAGTATAGTCTCCTTGATCACCTGAGCTAGGTGCTCCAGGAATGTCCCTTGTGTGACTTATGTGAGCCCTCCTGTTGTAATTGAGTCTTGATTGTTATTGGTCCATTTGTGTGTGGCCGTCTGACAGTTTGGATTGACACTGACCATAGTGAATGAACTGCTGTGTAGGTGCTGACCACATAAAACAGAAATCTGCTTCAGCTGGCTCTGTTGCCTGCCTAGGTATCCCTTTGGATATGCTGCTTGTGAAGCTAATTGGATCCTTCTCTGATATTGTTTGAAGCTGACCACTGGGTGTGTCTGTTCTGGGGCCTTTTGGGAGAGACTCTGGTGCGGATCAATGTTAGATGCTTCCTGTGACTGGCCCTGGGCAACCTGTTTGGATCTACAAAGCAATTCAGTTTTTGGCTGTCTCCGCTGGGCTTTGGGGGGGGTGTGTGGTGGGGGAGGGGCGGGACCAAGTTATGCACCAAGCCTGGGGGACAGTGTAGTAAAAGGTGCCAGGCACCCGGAGATCCTCCTCCTCCTGCCTCTGCCTGGTGGCTGCCTGATAGGCCCAGTCATTGAAAGAGTCACCCAATCTTAACATTTTTGGCCTGGTTCCTTATTCCTCTTTATTGATCTTATACTAGATTTAGCCTGAGGTCAATGAAGGGGTTTCAGTAAACCTTCTGAAGTAGTGTGCAAAATTGTGTGTGTATGCTGTTCGTGGGGGAAGCTCCCGAGCTTAGGTGAGGTTCTCAAAGTAGTCTGTGAAGAGACTCCACCCTGAAGGGAAAAAACTACAAGTCTTTGTAAATAATTTCTTTGCTTTTAGACAACACACATTCTCATACTTCCACATTTTTATGCATTTGTTCTGTGAGACTGAGTGTGTCGTGGAAAGAGTATATGTAGGTTTTTTGTTTTCCCTCAGGTATCTGACTCAAGCTAATGCTGGCTAAGGAGTGATGGGATTTATCTAATAAGAAATAATGAAGTGTAGCAAATTTGATGGGGAGCCACTGAGATGAGAGTAATATAGGACATGTTATTGATGAACCTTCAAGATAGTAAAACAAATGAAGGGGAGAACAACTTAACTATGAGTAAGAAAGATTGTCCATAATAAAATTAAAAGCTTGGATATAATAAAAGCTACATAAAGTATTTGGATGGACAACAGAATAAGGGAAAATGGTCACACACATGGTACATTATTAACAAAAATTCAACCCCATAGAATAGAAATTCAATTTTCACAAAAAAATGCAAACTCAAAAAATAGCCTTATTTATAATAGCCCATATGCTGTTCATATGTGGATGTACCTAGAAAGCATCACACTAAGTGACAGTTACAAGCACACAATCCCATTTACACAGCAGTGTAGGTGGACCAAGTACAAACAGATACAAAGGTAATGGAATGTTACCTTGGTTACATGGCAGAATCTATTTATCAAAATTTCTTGAGGTGTACACTTAAGATACATTAATTTTATTGAATGAACATTATACCTCGTTAGAGGATTTTTTTTATATGCAAGGATACATACTAGGTTACAAACATTGGATTAGGAGGCATATGATGGGGAAGGACAAAAGGTAAAAAATAGAACTATTTAAAAATGTATGCATGGTCCTATTCATGCTGTCCAATACTGCAGTTCAACACTTGTGTCCTTGGCAGCTCAAATTCGGGGGCTGATCAGGAGATGGAAGCCTGAGGGTGCTGGACTATGAACGAGGAGGAGACGGAACAAGTGGGACAGTGAGTGCAGCAAACCTGACAAAGCACTGGTTACATCGTGTAGTTTACCTTTGGAGCAGCAATGAAGAATGAATGAGATGAGGCGTGATATAAATTAAGTTGCCTCAGTATTTCCAAAAGAGTAAGTCCCAGCACATCTGTTCACAATGATCACGTCTCTGAGAGAAGCCATCCTTGGGGAAACGGCAGCAGCTCTTGAGACACAGGGTGCAGTGGGTTTTCCAGAAGGAGCCAACCCTGTGAGCTGCTTTTGCTTCCAAGGCAGGCCTCCTGAGCGAACTCATGTGAGCAGTCAGACAGCAAACCTTGAGTGGTTAAGGAAACCCTAGCTTTCCTAGAAATCAGCCTGGGCCTCTGCTCAGTATACAGTTGTTCCTGCCAAAATGGAGATAATGCCACCCAGCTAGTTTTATATTTTAAGAATTAGTAATAATGTATATGCACAGGATATGACAGGATATGACACAAACAGGTATTCAACTAGTGACAGCTCTCTTATTCCCCTGCCTAGAGAGGGCTCTTGAACATATTGGCCAATCATAAAATAGCAGGTGGATGGATGAATGAAGAAATAAAACTATGAACACATAGTCAATTTCAGTGAACTGCCTATTTTTCCAGACAGAGCTTAACTATTATTATTTCCTTTGGGAAGCTACCAAGCTACCCTCATCCCAAGCTACAGACATTTTCTCACTGAACAGTGTAGGCATCAGAGCCACATGCCGGTGCTTGAGTCTTGGTTCCACTACTTACTGTGTCTTTGGGTGAACCACATACACTCTCCGCTGCCTCAGCTCTAAAATGGGCTTTAACAATAGTATCAACCTCATAGGGTTTCTGTAAAGGGTTAACACAAAAATGCATTTATTAGATTGTCTGGCACATAGTAAGCATTCAGTAAACAGCCATCGTTACATTGCTTTATACCACGTTTTACAAATTATTTTCTTGCATAGCTCATGAAAATAAACTCCACAAGAATAGGAACTTGGTTGTTTTGATCACTGTTTAAAATTCTGCCCTGGGATCTATAGGCCTCCAATAAATAGTGGTTGAATGAATACCTACCTACCAAAGACACAGAGTTCCACAGTTACATATATATATTTTCCCCAAAATTAAGATCAGTACTTTGCATATAGTAGGAACAAAATAGATGTTTGTTGACTGAACGAATGAATGGAAATGATGAAATGTAAAATGATTCCAGACCACTGATAGTACTGTAGCAATGCAAAAAAAGAGATTAAGGAATATTCCAGTTTATCTTTATAAACTTTTTATTTAAAAAATAAAATTATAAACAAAATACAGAAAAAATATTGACACCTGTGATAACAAGAAAATGACTCCTAATCTTTAGGGCAGTTTGTTATCCTGGGAAAGCAAAATCATGAGTTTTATAATGAAATTTCATTGTGCAAAGGAAGGATGTACTTTTTAAGATTCATCTCTAACAAGTATTTGGCATTGACAGAAAAAGTATTCCTATGTATACATTCAACATTTTGCAGCATATTTACGTTCAAGTTACATTTCCAAATTCTTTGCCAAATACAGTCTAACCTGCGATCAAAAATCCCTAAGATATTACTAAAATTCTATAAGGTAGAAGTGCATTATTATTTTATTAGAAAATAATCTTATGTTCCTATTAGATCAATTATATTTTAACTATTTCAAGAAAATTCTCTGACCTTTCTTTCCTATTGAAGCCAAGCCTCTTCTAGGAAATTAAGCACCAACTGAAATTGGACACTAATGATGTTATATAATAATTTACTTTCCTCCTTTCTTAGAGATATCATTAAAACTTTCAGTAAAAGGACACTGGCAATGATCATCTGTCTTCTTGTAAAGTAGCTTAGACAGATCGTGGACACAGGCTGCAGCATTTTAACTTCCTTTTCAAAGGTGGCTGAAACGCTGCTCCTTTTCAGCTGTGAACAAATTCCTCATCAAAATAAAACATATTAAGAAACCCACATCGTTTTCCGAAAACTTTTCTCCATTTTCCCACACATCCCTTGAATCAGACTATTTCTTCATTAACAATTTGTGAATACATTGCTTAGCTTTTCTAAGGTACACTAGGGTAGCTATCTTACTTTCATGATGATCTTTCAATTTCATTTTGTAAATTATGATTTTATTAAAATCAACATAAATTACAAATCTCTTCCACCTTTGCTGTAGTTCTCTGGGGCCTATCGAGGCTTGGCAAACAAAATGTCAAGATTAGAAAATTCTCATGCCTCCAAGAGATTCTAGACAAATCAAATCTACTCATAATGTATCAATTAGTTTTTAATTATCTCAAATTAAGTTCCACTTTTGTTTAAGTCTAGGAAGATAATGACAAAACAATGGAGACAGGTACATTTCATTGAGCTGAGCTCTTCCTGATTTACTTCAGGTTGTAACTTCTCCAGGACATGACGACTGGCAGTTGGCAGTAGGTTGCTGAGTTGATACCACTTCTAACTCAGATTCACGGACAAAAACCACTGCATCACCACTTACATTTATAAGACACTGTGCCTATAAGAACAATAGGACATGTTCAGTCACAAATTCAACAGTATGCTCATACTCTTCTGCTACATTAGGGGCACCACTGTCATAAGAGAAAAGATAGACAACAAAGAAAAATGAACAAAGGATACAAAGGCAATTCACAGGAAAGAAAACTAAAAAGAAAACAAAACAATTATTATTACAGTCATTTAATTTTAAAAAGAATCTTTAACAATTTTAACTGAGTTATAGCAACAAAAATGATAAATTTATTCTAAAATATACCCTAAGCAATACATCTTAGCCCCCCTTAACAGAATTTCATTACTTATTAAAAAAAAAAACAAAAAACCTAGTGTGGCCCCATTATAATGTACTCTTCACCAGAGTGGCAGTCAGAACCTGATGGCATAGTCCAACTAGACTACTAGAGGGTGCTTTTAACTCTCCTCAGTCAGCCATCACTGTATTCCAAAAACCCACCAAGAAGATGATGGAGAGAGTAGTAAATTAGGAGCAAAACTTGCAGAAGTATTTAGGAATAATAACCAGTCAGCTGGGATGTGCGAGCAGCATCTGAGCTATGTGTGGCCATGGTTATTAATAACACACTCTTTAGAACGTGTTCTAAGCACCGAGACTCGAGGAGCTCTATAAAGAGCAAACCTCTTTTGCAGGGGAGGGTGGCAGGTGAGGAGGCCATGAAGGAAGTTCGCAGGTTCCCAGTCAGGATCTTTACCTGCCACTTACCTGGTTCTTATTTGGATTCTCCATGAAGACACACTGCTTCATTATGTAGGAGACAACAGCATTCCCTCCTAACGCAGCAACGTGAGCTCTCACCATTGCGAACACTTCGGCGATAAAGGCATGGAGAAAACCACTGACTCCTCCTTCCTACACAATAATGCACAGGAAAATCAAAGGATAGACTTGCATACATAAATGCACATAAAATGTCAAAGAAGGTATTTAAACATCTTAAGTAATCAATGATGGACAATTTTAATGTCCTTTGTGAGGATCTGTTGCATGAATGAACAAACAAACCTTTATTGAACAGACTTCTATAATAGGGATTACCATCCTTACTTTACAGATGACACCGGAGCTCAGAGAATTTGTAACATGCCCACAACTAGCTATGATCACATGACTAGTAAGTAAATGGCAGAGAAGAATTTGAATTGTTCTTCCATCTTCAACAACTCCCTCTATCAAATTGCTCCCATCCTTATTTAAATAAATTGATGATACCTATAAACAATAAAACCTCCTTGCTATCCATATCTCCCCTTCTGAGCCATGTTCCAGTCACACTTGCCTTTTATCAGTTTCTCAAAAGTGTCAAGCACTTTTCCTGCCTCAAGGTTTTTGCATGGGCTATTCTGAAGGCCCCAAGGATAGTCATCACCCAATTTTCTACGAGAATAACTCTTATCCGGTTCTTTAAGTCCTGGCTGACATGGCACTTCCTCAGAGAGACCTTCCCTGACTGTCAAATCTAAAGCAAGTTCCCCATTATTTCTTCTGATGGCCTCTACTGCATTTCTTATATTACTTACTATCACTCACAAATACATAATTATTTGTTTAATGTCCACCTCACTCCCGTTCCACTAGCCTGTAAATTCCATCAGGTCAGGGGCTCCATCTGTTTTGTATAAGTCTTGTGATAATACTAGCTACTATATAAAATTTGGTAAATCTGATATAGAATATATTCAGACAGGTTATTGGGAGGAAAACAAAGATGTGTATGTGTGTTACTTTTTTGCAAAAAAAAATGAAACTTGTTTGGTTTTGTCACTAATATCTTCTATCACAGAAAATTCACAACAATGAAATAACATCTATAAAGTTACCTCACGTAAAGAAGTGGTTTCCCGAATAAAAAACATGTTAATTATCCCAAGATATTTAGTTATTTTTGCTCCAGGAATGAAAGAAAGAGGTGTCATCTTAACAACCCCAACTGTAGAATTTGCGCAAGGTGGAGCAGATCGATTCCGGAAATTTCCTTCACTCACTGGACTTGCTTTTTCAACTGTCACAGCTAAAATTGGAAAAAAAAAGAGAAAGTATCAAGATCAGATGCTAGCAACTCAATTATTCCCCAAGGTTTCCGAGTAAGTGGTGACAACATTCAGCTGTCTGTGAGGCTAAGCCATGTCATGAAAGAAAAGAAATTATCATGCACTGCATGCAATTAAAAAGAGAAAGAAAAACATAAGAGAAAAATGCTGGAATGGAATTCTTTTGGAAGAAAAATGGCATTCCTGCAAAAGAAAATGTTGATGCGGTGTAGCTACACATACAATGATCGTTATAAAGTGAAGAAAAAGAAAAAGCGGCAGAGCAATTAAAAATTATCTGCTGTAGGAACAAATTATTACAAAGAGAGTGTGAAAGTTGTATTTCCCAGTTTTTACCATCTTTTTTCACATGACTTCATCATTGTCAACTTGTAGATGAACCTTATGTTAACTAGTTATAATAGGTTTCTTTTCCAAACCATTTTGATCAAACTCATAATTTTAAACACGTATGACTGTTTAAAAGTTGACTATTTATAAAATAACATAAATAATAATCTACCACTAAATAAATAATTACTATAAGCCAGACATATATCTATATCTAATCCCTACAACAACCCAACAAGATAGGTATTATCATCCCCCATTTTCAACATGAGGAAACTGAGGCTCAGAGAAGTAACTTGCCCAAGGTCACACAGCTATTAAAATGGCACTTCTAGGATTCAAAACCAGCTCTGACTGGTTCCATATCCTGTGATCTTTCCTCTAAAACATAGTTTCTTCCCTTTTAATGCACTATGAACTCTGACACTCAAATACATTTACCCCAAATCTACCAAAACACATGGAATATAAAGAACATCTGATGATCTTGATTCTATCAGAATCAAGAGTTAAGTTATGAGTTAAGAGTTGCGATGAGTTAACTACTTTCTCTCCAGAAACAGCTCATTCTTTAAGCTCTCTGAATATCACACTTGGTAAACTGACACATGCCATATTCTCGATAGTACCTTGGGTTCTGGAAGAGTGTCTCTTCAATAAGAGAGTAGACAATTTCCTTCCACTAGAAGACTATATCTATCTACGTACTTTTAAGAATACCTTCACAAAAAGTGTGAAATTTTAAAAACAATTCTACAGTTAAAATGAACAAATCTACAGGCCCTTCAATAACTTCCACTAAACAACCGTTAGTCTGCAGCTTTCACACTCCAACGCAGGATTGATTGGCAATGTTGTTACTGGGTGGAAAAGTCTAGCCTTCACCATCGGGAAATCAGGGATAAGCTTCTCAGATCATAATGTGGTAGAAACATCCGCCTACTTGTCTTAATTGATCCGCGCCTTATGGTCTGAGCTTTCAGTTTAATGAGCTCTATCCAGCTGCTGCATCTGTCTGCAAAGGAACTGTAATCAACTGACGTTGCTGGAAACATAGACAGAAAACAAAAGAAAAAATATGTATGACGTCTCTTACTCGTCATAACACTCCTTCCGATGACATAATTTAACTGTAATACAGAAAAAGAATGGTCCTTTCAAGTTAGATAAAAGAGACAGTAAAGAGTCAAGCTTTAGACACTGATTTGTCCAAAACCAATTTCAGTGAGCTGGCTGAGCGTTTTTGGTGATGTCATAGTTGTGTGGACTCTTAGGGAAAACGGAAGTGGGGTTTCAGAGAAATATCAGTGAAAGGACCATATACTGTGTTTTAACTAACTTTCCCCCCATTCTTTTTACTTTACAATGTTTTAGCTGTTTACATTTTAGGACTTTAATTTACAATCCAAACTGTGTGAACTAGTTTCTACCCTAAAATCCCTATTTCTACCCTAAAATCAAAACTAGAAATAATGAGAATCAAAATGTTGAAGAACAGATGAAAAATATCACTAGTTGACTTATCTTTTATTAAAATATCTTCTTTCCACCATGAGCAACAGGAAAGCCAAAGGTCGCTTCTGTTCATATTTTCTTTCCACGTATAATTTTGGCAACAAAGTTTCTGATAACATAGGGTAGGATGGCAGGTGTGAGCCTAATAAGTTCGCCTTTAAAAGAATAACTTAAAACTACTACTGAGCTAGAAAAAAACAAAACAAAAAAACAAACCTACAAAAAAGCTAAAATTTATTTTTAGAAACTGGGAAACTATGAAAATGCTTTAAAATTTTTAAATATTAGTTTTATTAATATTTTTGAGTCACGTTCTAACTACAGTAAAGCCACATTTTGGTGTCCATTCCACTGTCCAGTGCATTTCTCCAATGTCTGTACGTTTATGCACCACCACACTAGAATTTCACACCTTTGGTGACTGTTTGCTTAATTAGATGAACTCACCTCTCTGTGCAGCTGGTATACCTGAGTTAGAACTTGCACTCTCCAGGTGTTCTAATAAGACAATATGAACAACATTAGCTGGAATGCTAAGTACAAGCCAGTTTCTCTTCTTTGCTGCTTGTAAATGCTGTCTATAAGCCAGATGAATAGGAGGAAATCTTTATAGCTTCATTGTAAAAGCAAACCAAATAGAAGTATTTAGGTTTAAAATGCAATTTCCATTGACATATGAAAACTAGTTCAGTTAATAAACACCATGTCAAGGAAGACTACTTGTTACTAGAACACAAAAAGAGTTTCAGAAACTTTAGAGGCATGAGAAAATATGAACACAGTAACAAATGTTAGTAGGATGAAAGCAGGATGTGAGAAAACTGAGCAGAGAAAAGGGTCAATGAATTGGTAAGAAAATCTGAAATGAAACATGGAAAGGAAATATTTGTGGGGGGAAGAACAGTAAGATTAAAAATTACAGACAAGGCAATGACCGCTGTCTCACAGATAAACACAAGCTCCTTGCCAGCCATAACTCTCCCCCTCACCACCAAGCCTTTCATTCAAGGTCTTCATTATCAACAACTTCCTCTGGTGGTATCAAGACTTTGCAGAGTGAGAAACTGACTGTTCTCTGTAGAAATAATCAGGAATATCAGTCACTTCCTTCTCATACCTCATAAAATTAGCATCCAGAATTTCCTCTATTTTATATTTTTATTATAGATATTTAAGGTAATGTAAAAATTTAAACAGTACTATAACAAATCATCTATTTCGAATGTTCAGACTCTATCCACCCTAGCATAATTGGATTTTATAAGTGAAGGAATAGTGTTGTCAATTTAGAAATAATAGGAAACTGAGAATTATTTGGGTCTGCCACTTTTTAAAAAAAAACTTAGGAACTAATTATATATTTTTGTCTCTGCCTAATATGTAGATCTTTTGATAATATTCTTAAATTAATAAAAGTTATACTTTTCAAAAGTAAGGTTTGTACAGAATGTTTCTGATAATTGGGTACAACGAAAGTATCTCTGTCACCCTCCTCCCCCATTTTGAGAGCTCAGGTGAGCACTAGCTAATACTGAGGATGTACAGTGACTGACAGTCCTACAATACAGGGTTGGTGAATAAACAGGGTCACTAGGTAGGGTACTATGCTGTGGACAGGCCCTGATAATCATGGTCTCAGACTGGAGACACAGGCAGGGAGAGTCCTCTGGATTTAGGACCCTGAGGGACACTGAAAGCCCAGACAGAACTGACATTCTGAGGCTGACCAAATCTCTAGGGACAGCTCAGCACAGAAACCGACCCAGTGCTGGGACAGCCGGAGGCCTCTATATCCCAGGAGGGTCGCAGGGCTTGCATATGCCCTTGACAAGTGCAGAATTATAGAAAATACAGTCAGCAAAAGGAATTCTGTGCAAGTTTTTTTTTCTTTATCCTCACCCGAGGACATTTTCTTTCATTTATCTTCAGATAGAGTGGGAGGGAGAAAGGGAGGAAGAGAGAGAGAGAAACATCGATGTGAGAGAGACACCCACACAACCCCAACTGGGGCTGGGGACAAACTGCAACCAAGGTACGTGCCCTTAGTGGGAGCTGAACCCGGGACTCTCTGGTCCGTGGGCCGACGCTCTAACCGCCGAGCCAAACCAGCCAGGGCTTTGTGCAAGTTTTTAAAATGTGGAGGCAGCAGGAGAAGCTACAAAATGTGAAAATCACTAAAATAAAATTATCTTCTATAACGTAATATTATCTGGGTAAAATGGGATTCCAGTAGCAATTATGTATAAGTTAATGGCAAATGCCCACAAAAAGAGCTCAAATGTAGAAAGTATATGTTCCCACCTCTAACTATATCAAATGAAAAGAACAAAGGTACACCATGTAAAATGTTAGTGCTTAAAACAAAGAAAAATATATGCCCTGGCTGGTGCCGCTCAGTGGTTAGAGCATCGAACCACACAGAGAAGGGTCGCAGGTTTGATTCCTGGTCAAGGGCACATACCTGGGTTGGTGGTTCAAGCCCCAGCTCCAGTCAGTGCAGGTGTGGGAGGCAACCAATTAATGTGTCTTTCTCACATCAATGTTTCTCTCTCGCTCTCCCTCCCTTCCTCCTTTCCTTCCTTTTGCTAAAAATCAGTGTTAAAAATATCCTTAGGTGAAGATTAACCAAAAAAAGAAAGAAAGAAAATTCTAGAGTGTCTTTGCAAAGACAGATAATGAGCTATTAAAAAGTAGTTCCCTCTTGGGAAGGAAAATGAAGGGAGAAGAATGCTTTATTGGACTATATGATTTTCTGGTAGGATTTGAATTTTTCACCATGTGCATTTACTACCTTTTCCACAAAATTTTAGGAAGGATGGGAAAGAGAAAAATAAAAGCAAGGGAAAATATTTATTCCTGGCCCTCAAGTGTGACTGTGTTGGAATTAAATCGGAAAAGAAAATGTTTTAAAATTGGAGACATTCTTAAGGGAAAGGGTGAGTGAGAAGATTTATTTTACTTAAGGAGAACAGGTTCTGTTAATATGCTTGCTATGTTCTCAACTTTTTTCTCTGAGAAAAGGTACAAGGTGAGCTGGTGCTGGTATCAGGTGAACATCGGCACCTCGGACTGGTGTGACCACCTCAAAGATCTCATGACCTCAGGCCCTCAGTCACACTGCTCCTTCTGACCACAATTTGCCTTCCCAAGGAATAGGCTTCTCAGAAGAGAAGGTACTATGAATATAAGCTGTCTGACTCCCTGACAAACTAGTAATTCTGGTTAAAAAGAAATAAAGTACATATGTAATCTCTACGCCAATACTAAAAAAAAAAAAAATAAGACAACGCTTCATATATAGGGAAAGAAATCTTATTAAAGTCTTTTGGGCTTTGTTTTTTTGTTTTTTGTTTTTTAATCCTCACCCGAGGACATTTTTCCATCGATGTGAAAAGGACACATCGAGTGGTTGCCACCCACACAACCCAACCAGGGCCGGGTACAAACTGCAACCGAGGTACCTGCCCTCAGCAGGAGTTGAACCCCAGTCTCTCTGGACCGCAGGCTGACGCTCTAACCAATGAGCCAAATGGGTCAGAGTTCTTTTGGGCTTTGTTAAGGGCAAATGCTTAGTTGTGGGCAATTTGCATATCTACATGGAAGAGTTTGAGACAAACACTTCTTATGTTAAGTCTCCATCTAGCTGCAGAGGTCTCAATCAAACCACATGGCAGCCTACTTCTTTTATGATTTTCTTTCCCACTAAATACAAGAAGATTACTTTGCTTTAAAAAAAAAAAAGCATGAACAGCCCTGGCCCGTTTGGCTCAGCAGTGGGAGTGTCGGCCCACAGACCTGAGTCTCAGGTCTGATTCTGGCCAGGGGCACGTACCTCGGTCTGATCCCCAGGCCTGGTTGGGGTCATGCGGGAGGAACCAATCGATGTGTCTTTCTCACATTGATGTTTCTCTCTCTCTCCCTCCCTCCCACTTTATCTGAAGATAAATGAAAAATATCCTCGGGTCAGGATTTTAAAAAAAGAAAGCAGCATGAATAAGTGATAACCCTGTTATCCCCAAATAAACAAGCCCGAAAGTTAGCATGGCACACAATACATGCGGTCTTCTTATTCTCTTAGTATATTCTAGCAATACTTAACAAGCCCTAATGGTGTGGGGAGGAAAAAAGCAGTTTAGTGAAAATGAGCAAATTGAAGACAGAAAGAAAAAAATGTGGCCAGGATTCTTCCTTCCTCAATTATACATGTTCCAATGCTTCTACAGTTTGAGGCTTCCCTATTCTCCTGAATAATTTTCATACCAATGACCAAAGTATTGATTACCTATGATAAAGTTCTACAGTGACCACTACCTCTTCCAACCACTTACTCACTTTATATCATTAGAATTTACAGCTCATCTTTGCCTTAATAATTTTAAAATATTTGTGACAATCTTATCTGGTCATCCTAAGAAAATTACTAAAATTGAAAAAAATCCCTACAAATTATGAAAAGATTCTCTGGCAGATTAAAATATATGCGATCTAGTTTTAAAATTCATGCTATATTTTCCTATTTAAACATTTTTAGTTTTAAGTTATTAAGACCAAAATTTGGATTTATGTTCCTTTAAGCATTTCCATCAATCTATAATGCACCAATTAGCTAAGTCTTATAACTATAAAATCTGGCTTAATGACCTAGTTAGATAAAGGATGTATCTGAACATTCAGTATAAATTCTGTCCATAATGATTTTCAAATATTGATGGATTGATAATAAAACTGCCATATTATAGTTAAAAATTATTAAGGCATAGAGAAAGATATAAATAGCTTCAATTTGGATAGTCCAGAAGGGAAACAAATTCAACTACAAAGGTAATACATACATTAGAGGACAAAGACGATTAATTCGTTTCTGTCTGGGTCATTAAAGCTTCCAACTAAAGGTATACAACGTCCTAAATCACTTGCCTTTTTTCTTCAATCCCCTTCTACTGCTTTCCAGCCTCCATTACCAGGTCTCCACTCCTCCACTCACAAGCATCCTGTATATTGTCTCCTCCAAAGAGTCCTGGTTGTCCATCAGTAGCTCAATTCCATTTTTCTTTGCTTTTTACCCTGATTCTAGATTTCACTATCCTCAATTTGCCTTCAAGAAGTTAAGATTCCTTAACCCTACTTCTCCATCAATTCTCTTTTCTTCCTTCTTTCCCATTTAATGGGTAAGTTTTGCACACATTTTCCTCTCTTCCGTTTCTATTTTCCTCTCATTCTCCTTTCCCTCAGCATCTCCCGCTTTCAGAATCTCCCATGAATTGTGGCATCAATAACATGGAGAACTCTTTATTGTTGATACCATTTGGTCATTGTGACAAAATATATTTTAAAATGAGAGAGAGAGAGAGAAAACAGACATGCAATGAATTGTTAATAAAGATATTTTAGTTAGTATAAAGAATTATATATACTTGTAAGAATTAAAAACCATTAGTTGGCAGGAAAAAAATAAAAGCTAAATGTAAAGTTTTTAGAGATTTCTATTTCTAATTGCTAGTTGAAAATAATGTGAGGCTAGTCATTAAATTTTAAAAGTTAAGCTACCTTTTAAAATCAAATTTGATTTAGCAAAAAGAAAAACTAATTCTTATAAGCCTACATAAAAACAAAGATTAAAAGAAAACTTCAGATGTGGATACCTAACTATGGAGTACAGCATTAAGGGAATAAACCAACTTGTTTTCTTTTAGACTGCAATCCAGATTTTGTCCTCTGCTCGTCACATTAGTCAGAAGCTGCTTGACGAAAAGAGGCATCTTGCCGGTGTACAGCTTATGCCACTGAGCATGAGTAATCACCCCAGCATAAAGCAAAATGAAAGCAGGAACAAGGTGGGTATAAAATTTTTTTCTTCTATACAGTTTTATCCAACAGTATATAAAAACTAATACTGACACCTGGCCAGTGTGGCTGGACGGATTGAGCCTCGTCCCTATTTGATTCCCAGTCAGGACACATGACCAGGTTGCAGGCTCAATCCCCAGTTGGGGGCATGCAGGAGGCAGCCAATCGATGTTTATATCTCTCTCTCCCTCTCCCTTCCTCTCTATCTAAAAATGAAAACATATTTTTTTAAGAAAATGAATATTGATAAACCTTTAAAGTCTTAAAAATATCAGAATTTTAATGAAAATAACTATCCTATTATAGATTAGATTTATAAAGCATTTGAGATTTATAATAGTATATAATTCATACACTTTCGTCACTTATGTAAGTTCTTAAAGTCCTACAATATGGTATCTAACATCTTAAGATTCATGTCTTTAGAAATGTATCTAAAGTAAAATGCTAACCTTTGATGAAAATTACATATATGAAATTCTTGAGATTAACTACTGTCTATGAGAAAAATTTTATTGACTTTTTACTCTTCACCCAGATTATATTCAATCAGATTCCTCATTTTTACTATATTTGATCTATTTTTTCTGTATATATAATTTTTAAAGTCTCTGGAAACTATTTCAGAGAAAAACTGAAGTGTAGATAGTAGTAGTTAGGAAAAACGCTGTGAAAGTGGTATAAAAATCTGCAGTAGGCATCTTTTTTTCCTCGTAACACTGCCTTATATGAAAATAAGTCATTTATGTCAATGCCACATCACCTATGATTCACAGTATTCATCAAAATATTTTGATGACCTTCACATGATAATGTCCTTTAAGAAATTACTTTAGCTCAGCACCTTTTAATATTTCAAATCAGAAAAATAAAGATAACTAGCAAGGTAACACCAAGTCAACCATAAATTTGAGAGATACCTCAAACTATTTTGTTACCTTGAGAAACAAAACCAAATATAACAAAAGATGAAAGGAAAATTGAACATGGATGGACAATTCAGGCCCAGGCTCACTCTATACACAGAATTAGGATACATATAATTGAAGCATCTTTTCTTCACATAATATTCACTCATTTCCAATAACACAAAAAGATAAGAAAAGATTTATCTACAAGTGAAAAGATGGAAGTATTAATAAACATACTGTACTTAACTTAGCTCTTGAAACTACTCTGTCAACATAAAAGAAAATGAAAATTTTAACAAATCATCCTATTTGTGATAAGAACATGAAAAATAAATTAGAATCCAAAATTTTCAGAATTAAAAAAAGAAAAAGCTCGCCCTGGCCGGTGTGACACAGTGGTTAGAGCATTGGCCTACACATGAAAAGGTTTCGGGTTCGATTCTTGGTCAAGGGCACATACCCGGGTTGCAGGTTCAATCCCTGGCCCTGGTCAAGGCGCATGCGGGAGGCAACCAATCGATGTCTCTCTCTTATATCAATGTTTCTCTTTTTCTCTCTTTCTCTCTCCCTCCCTCCCTCCCTCTCTCTCTTCCACTCTCTCTAAAAATCAATGTAAAAAATATCCTCAGGTGAGGATCAACACACACACACACACACACACACACACACACACACACTCACATATACACGAAAAAGCTCCATCGGCTTAGTTAACTAAACTAACAAAACTATAAAAACAATACATTTATTTACTTCTCAGTATCAGTAGTTGACTTTTAAGCCTCTTCTGGTTGCATGTAAGGAAGTAGAGACATCTTGCGCATCTATTCCTAGCACTCTTACCTTTCCCTCTCCTGCCTGTTTCCTCTAAATTGTTAAGCTTAACTTCCTAGATATTCCTATTCTCTGTTCAAAGCCTTTCTGCATGTTACAATGCCCAGTTACTACATTCACGTTGTAACACTCTAACATTTTTCGGACCTTTTCAAAACTCATCCTATCCTCAAATCTTCAAAAATATTTTCTTTAAGATAACTTTTTCAGGTATATTTGGTACAGCCCATGTCCTCCTAAAAAGACTTTGAGGGAGCGAAGACAATACATAAACATGCAACATAAGCACAACTTATAAAACTATTCTTAACAGGTACAGATAAACTTTTTAGTGTTTTCTGATGATTTTGAAATGTAGTACTAAAGGAAAAGCACATAGATTTTTCAGTTAAGCATTTAGCATAAAAAATTTCATATACACCGGTATTGGTTGTGATAATATTGATTATTATGAAGAGATGATGGTGATGGTGATGATAATAAAGGTGAAATGATCTGATTCAGTTCTTTTCCAACTTTGAAACCTTTCTTCAAATAAAATCTCACGTAGAAAACAGATCCATAAAAGCACACTGAATCAAAGCTGCTCTAGTTCAGAGGTAGGGTGGGAGGTCTAAAGACCTATCTGTTCCCCCTACTCCCGCCCTTAGCTCCCGCCCTTCCCACCCTCCCGGGAAGTTATAAGACACCTCTGAAGAAACACTATGGTTTAATAATTATTGGTTTAACTGAAAATTTTAAGCTTAGTGTGACCTTAGGCATAATTTAGTTTTTGATTTGTTTTTAGTAATAGGAGTATGTTAATAATTGAAGAACCACAAACTACAGAAATCCAGGGAATCAGAGAATTTTAAAGGCCAGAGGGAACCTTAATCCTTTCATTTTACAGATGAGGAACTGAGGTTTAAACTGGCCTACAGCTTCATACTTATCAGTAGGAGAACTGAGAAGAGATTCTAGGTCTGTTGCTTTATTACTCCACCCCATGGTCCCTTCTCTACACTCCTTAAATTGAATTGCAAATACTTTAGGTATTGTTCAGATATTACTTATTCCACTCAAATTCTTCTTTCCTTGTTCTTCAGTTCACACAGTATTTTGTACAAAATATACTAGTGACAAGAAATACTAGTTATAATTACCTTTGAAAACATCTGAAAGCTACAGCAGAGACTGTAAGTTATTACTACAGATAAGGCAAACTTACAGAGTTTAAATCTAATCTGTAGAACTCAGTAGCTATTAACAACATGGTAAAATATAGCTAACAGGAACCCCAAGTACACATATGTATTTCTACAGATTAGCAATTAATCAAATCTTTTTTTGTTGATTGCTTTATTTTGTCTCCCTCCTCCCCCCATTTCAGGGAAAGGATAAATAAAATGATTCCTACAAGTGGTTTGGAACTAACCTTGTGTTAAATACAAGTTTCTGTATAAAGTAAGTATTTTTTAAAAATCCAGTCTAGTCAGTTCAAGGGAGATTTTCAACAGTCCTACTTTTATTCTGGAAACTATATTTAATTTATAAAGTTGAACTCAGATTATATTTGGATTTTATTTTTCTTCTCTATTCTTTCTAGGAAGTTGAGGTATGCAAAAGTTCTCCATGGAGTTCTAAATTAGAATTTTAATTTTTTAGACAAAAAGAAAAAAGGACCACAGTTACCATGTTAGAAAGTTCAGAATGTGAAAGTAGCTCATTTTTTGTCTTCAAAATATGGGACAGGATCTATTTATCTACATGGACAGGATTTATACTGATTTGGTAAAGACTCTATTGAAATACATGCAATGTAAGTATAAAACTATTTTGTATTACATCTAATTTGGTATCAGATAATATAATTTACAAGTAGAAATCATGAAATAATTTCACTTCTATAAAATATAAAAATTAGAAAAGCTAATATGGTTTTAAATAACAAGTGCATCACTTCTCAGAATAAAACATTTAAAAATAAACATAAACTACATTTATCATATGTACAATGCTATGAAATAAAGTACAATAGTTCTGTAAATTTTATAATAAAAATTGCACTGAAATCAGAAGAAAAATGGAAAAAAAACTACCTTTTTCTCCAGAGTGTTATATCTAATAAGTAGATTTACTGTTACTAAGTTAAGAGACAATCATTTTATATTTGAAAAAATTGTAGCATCTTGTAAGTACCTAAAAATGTTCCTCAGTTGTACCCAAGGTACCTAAAAGACAAAAAACATATCCCTTTCTCGTGTGACTACTGCCATCCCAAACCTCTCTAAATACCTTCCAAAAAAGATAAGTAGTTTGTTGTCATTTTAAAAATAAAAATTTTTATAAAGGTTCAATTGTTGCTGAAAAAACTTACCAAATATAACATAAAGTTCAAAATATCATGTATAAATAATTACTTTGGGAAATCCAAATCTCTGAAAATAAAACTTTAATACATTTGATATATAAAAATAGAGTCTCATATGAAAAATTACCTTAATAATATAAGCTGAGATTACTTAAAAAATTAAAATAAGAACATTACTTTCTCCCCTTTATGAACATGAACATACAATGAGGAAATGAGGACTAAACCTTCATCTCAAGAATAAGATGACCTACAATAACAAAGCAAGTAAAAACAACTGGGATTTGTGTTTGCATCTCCCTTATTTAACCAACCTTTAGCTGGTGGAAAAGGATGAGAGGGAAGTGAATCTGAACAGAGTTCCAGTGGAAACTGCAGAAGTTCTTCATTATCTGTAGAGGCTTAAGAAGCAAGAAAAACACTCATTATTTAGTAATAATCTACTATCAATTTTTAAAAATTAAGACTCTGGGATAACATATATAATTCCCCCACCCCAATTTATTTGGTTATATTCTCTTTGGTTGCCACTTCCCTGATAGGACTGTTGTGAGATTAAGAAAGGATAATGTTAGTGAATCTCTCAGCACAGTGCCTTGTAAATAATAACTAGCGCTAAATGATTATTATTATCCTACTCTTTGTACCTTTTTCATTCTATGATGCTTAAACCAGTTATCTACCTTCTTTGATAAATACCTGAACACATCATTTTTCATAATTAAATATTATATATGTAGAATATAATCAACTTAAAAAATTTTAGATGAATCATTCTCTGACAGGCTTATATCAGAACAAAATAAACTAACAAAATAGGTCCAGAAGCAAGGAATCATGGAACAGACTGATGAATCTCAGAAGGAAGGGGGGAGGGGAGTTGGAAGAGATTAATCAAAGAACTCATGCATATATGTGTTGAGGTTGGTAAAGGCTAGGGGTGGGGTGGGAACTGGGTGGAAGGGAAAAAAGGTGTAACATCTGTAATATGCTCAACAATAAAGGTAAAAAAAAAACAAAAAAACAAAAACAACCCAGTAACCCCATTTCTAGTAAGAGAAAATTTTCTGTCATTTTGAGACTACATTATTAATGTGCTCTCCCAACTTGTTCCCATGCCTGTGGTCTCAACCTGACTTAGTCTTTATTTATTTATTTATTTTTTATCCTCACCCAAAAACATTTTTGCATTTATCTTCAGATAGAGCGGGAGGGAGAGAGAGAGGAAGAGAGAGAGAGAAAGATTGATGTGAGACAGATACATCGAGTGGTTCCCATCCACGACCCCAACAGGGGCCAGGGACAAACTGAAACCGAGGTACGTGCCCTTAGCGGAAACCGCACTCAGGACTCTCTGGTCCACGGGCCGAAGCTCCAACAGCTGAACCAAACCAAACAGGGCCTGACTTAGCCTTTAAATAAAATGATGCCAGAATAATTTTTGTAAAAACAAAAAACACTTTTTAGATGAATCATGAATATTTCATTCAGCCAATGAGTCACTGAACTTTAGAAAGTGTGCTACATCCTGCATCTTGACACTTGCAGAGGAGACAGCAGCAGAAGCCAAGCCTGTGGGTTTGAACAGGTTCAGGGAGCATCTATGACTGGCTTGGGGCTGGGGCCATTCCCCCCACTGTCCCAGGAACCTAATTGGTGCTCCCCACACACAGGAGAGCTGACAGAAACTCCTGGTTTCCAGCAGATCCCACTGGATTGCATACGAGGATTTCCACCTTGCCAAGGACAAGGAAATATTCTGAGACACTCTCAGAGGAATGGCTCTAGAACAGGGAAACACACACCATTTTCCCTGAGATCTGGATGGCAACTCCCCCTCATGGGAGAACCAGGTCTTACACTCCCAATTCCACCACAAGCCCTTTCAGAAACAGGCTTTTCAATGATTAAGACAGACAGCTGGCTGAAGGCGAAGGTGGCGGAGGTGGAGCCCAAGAAACCTGGGAAAGTTTGCTGACCTGTCCCTGGGCCCCCTGCGGCTAACAAACCAGCCTTAGAATGCAGCTTGGCCACTCCCACATGCAGCCAAGCCCTGTGGAGACATACATAAAGTGTGGATAACCTGAAGCTTCGAACAGGTTGCTGAAAGCCAAACATGGACAGCTTCTGACAGTGGCTAGCAACAAAGTACCTCCCAGGAGGCCCAGAATTGGAAGACAAAACAGTCAGCTCAGTCAACAGAAGAGCAGAATCCCAAGGGAGCTCCCAGGAAGCACTAAACTCTGCTGAGAGGAACTCTACTTCACTTTTTTTCATTATCTTCTTTATTTTTCTTCTTAATTGCTTTGTTGTTATTTTTGTCTCCCTCTTTTTCTTTCATATCTCTAATTTTCCTCTTCCCTTTTCCTACCCTATTTTTTTCTTCTTTCTCCTGCTTTCGCTTTTTTCCTTTTTAAATCTTTTGTCTTTCTTCTTTCTCATCTTTTTTCCTTTACATATATTTTCTTCCTTTTTTCTTTTATACTGTTTTCCTTCCCCTATTCTTTTTTAAAAAACATTTTTTTTATTGATTTTTTAGAGAGAAAGAGGAAGAAACAGAGAGATAGAAACATCAATGTGAGAGAGAAATATTAATAGGCCACCTCCTGCACACCTCCTTCTGGGCACTGAGTCCACAACCTGGGCATGTGCCCTGACCAGGAATCAAACTGGGACCTCTCAGTCCATGGACAACGCTCAATCCACTGAGCCACACCGGCTGGGCTCCCTCCTCTATTCTTTATTCTGCCCTTTCATATTCCTTTATATTCCCCTTTTTTTCCCTCTTGTTATTTTACTTTTCTTTTATTATTCCCATTATCTTTTCTCTTTCCTAATTCTCTTTTCTTTTGTGGTTGTTTTTGTTGTTGTAGGGGTCTTTTGTTGCTTCTTGTTTTGTTGTGTTGTGTTGTGTTTTGTTTTATTCTGACAGTACCTGCACAAAGCCTCATGTGACATGGTAGGGGGTAAGCCTCACAGTCAGCTAGCCTGAGAGGAAATACCACCCATGCACACGACTTCAACAATCAACACAATCACAACAGGACAGCCCAAATAACCTACACAAAGGACATTCCTAGAGCATCTGCACCACTGGGTCCCACAGAACACTTACTACGTAAGGCCACCCCATGAAGACTAGGAGGTATAGCAGTTTAATCTAATATATAGAAACAAATACAAAGGGACAGCAAAAATGGGGAGGCAAAGAAACAACCCCAAAATGAAAAAAACAAAACAAAAAAACTCCAGAAAAGAGCTAAATAAAATAGAGGTAAGAAATTTATCAGATATAGAGTTCACAGTAATGGTTACAAGGGTGCTCAAGACACATAGAATTACAAGGAACTTAGTAGGAACTACAACAGCATGAAACAAGAAATAGAAACCATGAACAAGAACTAGTTGGAAATGAAGGATAACATATCTGACACCAAGAATACACTGGAAGGAATCAAAGGTAGACTGAATAAGGCAGAAGACAGAATCAGTGATTTGGAAAACAAGGTAGTAAAAAACATTCAACCAGAGTAGCAAAAGGAACAATTAGTTAAAAAGCAGTTTGATAGTTTAAGGAAAATTTGGGATGACATGAAATGTAACAACATTTGCATCACAGGGGTAGCAGAAGGAGAAGACAGTGAGCAAGACATAGAGAACCTGTTTAAAGAAATAATGACTGAAACCTTCTCTCACCTGGTGAAGAAAACAGTCACACAAGTTCAGGAATCACAGAGAATTCCAATCAAGATGAACCCAAAGAGACCCACTCCAAGACACATCATAATTAAATGATAAATGTTAAAGGCCAAAAAAAAAGAGGAATCTTAAAGGATTCAAGAGAGACACTGAAAGTTATCTACAGGGGAGTACCCCATTAGACTGTCAGCTGATTTCTCAACAGTAAACTTCAGGCCAGAAAGGTCTGGCATGAAGCATTCAAAGTAATGGAAAGCAAGAACTTGAACCCAAGACTACTCTATCCAGTAAGGCTATCACTCAAATTGAAGGAAAAATAAAGAGCTTCCAGACAACAAAAACCTAAAGGAATCATTACCACAAATCAGTACTATAAGAAATGTTAAAGAGAGTGCTTTAAGAAGAAGAACCAGAGAGAGGAACATAGGTATAAAGAGAAAAAAAAGGCAATATAGAAGTACCTATCAATAATAACCTTAAATGTAAATGGACTAAATGCTCCAATCATAAGACACAGGGTAGATGAATAGATAAGGAAACATGACCCGTATATATGCTGTCTACAAGAGACCCACCCCAGAACAAAACATTCTCACAGACTGAAAGTGAAGGGATAAAAAAAAAAATATCCATGCAAATGGAAATGGAAAAAAAAGTTGGGATTGCAATACTCATAAATGACAAAATGGACTTCAAAACAAAGACCATAACAAGAAACAGGAAGGATACTATATAATACTAAAGCATTGTTCTAACAAGAAGATATAAACCTGGCAAACATATATGCACCAAATATAGGAGCAATTAAATATATTAAAAAGCTCTTAGAAGACTTTAAGGGAGAGATTGATAGCAATATAGTCACAGTATGGGACTTTAACACCCCACTGACATCACTGGATAGATCTTCCAGACAAAAAAAAAAATCACCAAGAAAACATTGGCCTTAAATGATACACTAGATCAGATGGATTTAATTGATATTTACAGAACATTTCATACCAAAGCAGCAAAATACACATTCTTCTGAAGTGCACGTGGATCATTCTCAAAGTTAGATCACATGTTAGTACACAAAATAAGTCTTAATAAATTCAAGAAGATTGAAATCATATAAAGGGTCACAATGTAATAAAACCAGAAATCATCTACAATTAAAAAAACACTCAAAAACATTCAAACATATGGAGACTAAATAGCTTGTTATTAAACAATGAATGGATTACCAATGAGATCAAGGCAGAAATAAAAAACATCCTAGAAACAAATGAAAATGAACATACAACAACCCAAAAATCTATGGGACATGGCAAAAACAGTCCTGAGAGGGGAGTTCATAGCATTACAGGCCTATAAGGAAAAGCTCAAATAAACAATCTAATCCTACACTAAAAGAATTAGAAAGAAAAAACAAAACAAGAAAAGACCATGGTAAGTAGAAGGAAGGAAATAATAAAGATCAGAGCAGAAATAAATGCATAGAGACTAAAAAATCAATACAAAAGATCAATAAAACCAAGACCTGGTTATCTGAAAAGATAAACAAGATTGATGAACCTTTAGCCAGAATCATTAAGAAATAAAGAGAGAGTACCCAAATAAATAAAATCAGAAATGAAAGAGGTGAAGTAACAACTGACATCACAGAAATACAAAGGATTGCAAGAAAATACTTTGACAACCAACAAACTGGATAACCTGGGCAAATGGACAAATCCTAGAAACATACAATCTGCCAAATCTCAATCAGAAAGAATCAAGAAACCTGAATAGGTTGATAATAACTAATGAAATTAAAGCAGTGATAAAAAAATTCTTATCAAACAAAGGCCTTGGACTGGATGGCTTTACAGGTAAGTTTTACCAAACATTCAAAGAATAATGAACAATCATCTTCCTTAAACTATTCTAAAAAATTCAAGAGGAAAGATTTCCAAGCTCTTTTTATGAAGCCTGCTTTATCCTAATTCCTAAACAAGATAAAGTCTCTACAAAGAAAGAAAATCACAGGCCAATATCCTTGATGAACATGGATGCTAAAATCCTTGACAAAATATTAGCAAATATGATCCAATAATACATTAAAAAGATCACACACCATGGCCAAATGGGATTTATTCCTGGAATGCAGGGATGGTTCAATATTCTCAAATCAATAAATATAATAAACCACACAAACAAAATGAAGGATAAAAATCATATTATCATATCAGTAGACACAGAAAACACATTCAACAAAATCCAGCACCCATTATTATTTTTCTTTCTTTCTTTTCTTTAATCCTCACCCAAGGACATTTTTCACTCTGTTCAGACAGAGTGAGAAGGGGAGAGAGCGAGAGAAACATCGACGTGAAAGGGACACATTGAGTGGCTGCCTCCTGCACAACCCCAACCAGGGCTGGGGACGAACTGCAACAAAGGTACATGCCCTTGACCGGAATCGAATCCGTAACTCATGGGTCTGCAGGCCAACGCTCTAACCCCTGAGCCAAACCAGCCAGGACCAGCACCCATTATTGATAAAAACTCTCAGCAAAGTGGGAATAGAGGGATCATAACTCAACATAATAAAGGCCATATATGGCAAACCTACAGTCAATATCATACTCAATCAGCAAAAACTAAAAGCATTTCCCTTAAGATCAGGAATAAGACAGGAATATCCACTTTCACCACTCTTATTCAATACAGTACTGGAAGTCCTAGCCACAGTAGTCAGACAAGAAGAAGAAATAAAAGGCATCCAAATTGGAAAGGAAGAAGTAAAACTGTCATTATTCACAGATGTCATGATATTGTACACAGAAAACCCTAAAGACTCTTCCCAAACCTGTTAGATTTAATAAATAAATTTGGCAAAACAGCAAGATACAAAATTAGCACCCAGAAATTGATGGCATTTTTATACACCAATAATGAACTCTCAGGAACAGAAAGTAAAAAATAAAAATTTCATTTCCCATTGCAACAACAAACATAAGAACCTGAGAATGAACTTAACCAAGGAGGTAAAATACATGTACTCAGAAAACTATAGGACATTGAAAAAAGAAATAGAGGAAGATACAAACAAGTGGAAGCATATATCATGTTTATGGATTAGAAGAATAAACATCATTAAAATGTCCATACTACCCAAAGCAATCTACAGATTCAACACAATCCTTATTAAAATACCAACTATATATTTCACAGATCTAGAACAAGTATTCCAAAAATTTATACGGGACCAAAAAAGACCCTGAATAGCCACAGCAGTCTTGAGAAATAAGAACAAAGTTGGAGGGATCACAATATCAGCTATCAAACTATACTACAAAGCCACTGTAATCAAAACAGCCTGGTACTGGCACCAGAACAGGCATATAAACCAATGGAACTGAACAGAGACTCCAGAAATCGACCCATACCAATATGGTCAATTAATATTTGACAAAGGAGGTAAGAACATACAATGGAGTAAAGACAGTATCTTCTATAAATGGTGTTGGGAAAATCAGACAGGTACATGCCAAAAAATGAAACTAGACCACCAACTTACACCATATGCAAGAATAAATTCAAAATGGATAAAAGACTTAAATGTAAGTCATGAAACCATAAAAATCTTAGGCAGTAAAATCTCAAATATCTCATGTAGCAGTATTTTCACTGATACATTGCCTAAGGCAAGGGAAACAAAGGAAAAAATAAATGAATGAGACTATATCAAACTAAAAAGTTTCTGCACAGCGAAAAGAACCATCCACAAAATGAAAGGAGAACCTACTGTAGAGAAAAATATATTCACCAATGACACATCTAAGAAGTGGTTAATTTCCAAAATATACAAACAATTCATACAATGCAACATCAGAAAACAAACAATCTAATTAAAAAATGGGCAGCCCAGCTGGTGTGGCTCAGCTGTTGAGCAGTGACCCACGTACCAAGAGGTCGCCGGTTCGATTCCCAGTCAGTGCACATGCCCAGGTTGTGGGCCTAGTCCCCAGCGGACTAGGAGGAGGCGGCCAGTTGATATTCTCTCTCATTGATGTTTCTGTCTCTCCCTCTCTAAAATCAATAAACTAAAAATATTAAAAAAAAAAAAAAAAAAAGGGCAAAGGACTTAAACAGACACTTCCTAAAGAGGACAATCATATGGCCAATAAACATAGAAAAAATGCTCAACGTCCCTAATCATCAGAGAGATGCAAATTAAAACGACAATGAGATATTACCTCACGCCTGCCAGAATGGCTAACATTAATAAATCAACAAACAACAAGTGCTGGCAAGGATGTAAAGAAAAGAGAACCCTAGTACACTGCTGGTGGGAATGCAGACTGGTGCAGCCACTGTGGAAACAGTTTGGAGATTCCTCAAAAAATTAAAGATGGAACTGCCATTTGACCCAGTGATCCCACTGTTAGGAATATATCCTAAGAATCCAGAAAGACCAATCAGAAAGAATGTACGCACCTCTACGTTCATAGCAGCATTATTTACAATTGCTAAGTTCTGAAAGCAGCCATGTGCCCATCAGTAGATGAGTAGAAAAGAAAGCTGTGGTACATTTACACAATGGAATACTATGTGGCTATAAAAAAGAAGGAACTCTTACCCTTCGGGACAGCATGGATGGACCTGGAGAGTATTATGCTAAGTGAAATAAGTCAGCTAGAGAAAGGCAAATAGTACATGGTCTCACTTATAGGTGGAATCTAATGAACAAAACAAATCTAATGACAAACAAAATAGGTCCAGAGGTATGGATGCATGGAACAGAATAACAGATCTTGGGGCTGGGGGTGGCAGACAGAAAGAGATTAACCAAAGAACATATATAAATATATGCATAACCCATGGACACAAACAATAGTATGGGGAAGGCCTGGTGTAGGGGTTAGATAGAGAGGGGGCAAAAAAGAAGAAAATGGGAGATATTTGAAATACTGTCAACAATTTTAAAATCCTACTTTTTACACCTAAAAAAAAATGATATTTCCTAAATTGTATTGGATAAATGACAACTCTGAGAATCTGTTGAATACCATGGAACCTTTCCTGAGAAAAACACATGATGCTTATATTAATAGTTTCTCCAATGCCTTGAGGACTTCCTTAGAGATACTGTAAATTATTGCAGAATTAATATGCTACAATTTAAGTCTATAAAACAACAGTATCTCTATGTAAATACCAACTGCCTATTCCTGTGTAAAAAGTATCAAGTCAGTCATATGCTTATCAACACCGTTACCCTGATAAAGATAACCAAAAAGTGGCAGATTCTTTTCAAGAAACAACTCATTTATTTAATCTACTTATTCTCTATATGTTATCACTGAATTATAATGTAGATAAACATGAACTATGATACCATGCATCATAGATTTACCTCTTTGCAATGACTTTTCAACATGTGCTTTTGTGGTGTGTAAAGCCTGATTTTTGTCAAAAGTTATTGCAACTGCTGTGACTGTAACCTAGAATCACAAAAATAATAATTAGCAAAATAATCATTGCCAAAATAAGTTTCTTACACATATTATTCAGTACCATAGAACAACTTATACTAATTGGCTAACCTGCCTTTCCTGGTTAAGATTCTCAGTTAGAATTATACATCAGCTCAGAAATTCAGACTACATACAACTAAACCTATCATGTATGCTTAAACAGATATTTCAGAAAGAGCTCAAGAACCTTGTCTAAAGGATAGATAGCAAATGGAGAAATCCCACATAAGTACAAATCCTACTGTATGTATGCTGGAGCACAAATGTGATTCCACCTTCAGCTAACTAGAGTTCAGAAAAATGAAATATGCACAGTCTGCTTCATACTAATGTTTCAAAATATTTTGAAGTAAAACAGTGTACACTTATTTAATTGTGGCATATTTATAATATAACAGATCAGATAAAAGCTAGAACTCATTTTTAGTAATAGACTGAATCTTAATTACCTGAATTAATTCATCTTCAGGCAGAGATACTGTAAAATTTACATGGCAAAGGCAGCAGGGAATCATAGACCGTAGTTTAAAATACAGGCTCTATATAATAGAAATATTAGTAATATCATTTCTTTTAATTTAAAAATCTACAAAAACTGATATTTTAATGTACATTATAGTATGGCAAATGGAAAGTTTAACGGATTAAAAGAAAGTTGGTCCACTTCTGTTTTGTCTATCTTTACATTAAGAATACATTTTTAATATTATGGCAGGTTTAATCATATTTATCAATGTCATAAAAATAATAAAAAAAGATATTTTAAATTTACGCATACTCAATAGATTTTTACGAAGTTTAAAGCTATGAGATAATTTAAAATGTCTTTATTTTATAGTATGGTAGATTAAGATGGAGAGGACAACCAGCATTTTACCTGATGGCAGAGTTAAGGTTGATATGTAAATAAAAATAATTCAGCCCATAACTATGTAAGGTTTTCCAGATAATAGATACACTTTTCATTTTTAATTTCATGACTATAAGGAGTTTTAACTAAAATATAGTTATTCAGAAGGTTCCTACCTTGAGTAAATTTTCACAGAGATCATTAAAGTTCTTATTGAGCGCTTGATTAGTCAGGTTAAGGCTGCTTAATCGGATTACTCTTACTGATGTGAACATCTAAATATGGGGAGATAGGACAGCATGTCATTTTATTATTTTGACCAATAACTAACAGTTAATAAACCTGCCAAATAATGAACAATAATGTGGTATGAAAAAGGGAAACATTTTCATTGCAATAAGGAGATAAAAAAGAAAACATAAAAGAAGGAACTTGCTAAAATCACTTATGTCATATTTGCTTAAAATTAAAAATGAAAGGTTCACCTGTATTTCAGATGTCCAATTATTTATGCCAGGCATAATTTCTGTATTGCAACTATAAAAGCCTGTCAAAAGAAATTATAGTTAAAATATATAATATTTCATTTCTTTTTGTGTTAAAAATAAGTTTTGTATTATTACATCAAGTTCTAACTGTAAGAACCATTCATTCTTTCTAAAACTTTATACCTTCAGAAAACTTCAGGCCATCTTAATAAATTATCAGTTTTTAAAAAAATGCATAACTATAATAGGATTAAAATCAGTTCGCCTACGTTCTAACGTAAGTATCTTAAAACTATGTTTTCAGCCTTGGAGCAGCAAAGCACATGACAGGATGTGACACTGATAAAGCCTTTAAAATAAAGTTAGTAACATAATTATGGACTAAAATACTGATGTGCAAAAAAGTGATAGTGTTATCTCAAAGATAATTTTTTCTATTTACCTGAAGGAGGAGGAACATCGGTAAGGAGAGAATGTACATCTTCCATAGCATCTGTGTCATCAATCTGAAAATAGAAAGATTAAAACTATTACATAAATAATATATAATCATTTTGAATTTTTAAAAGCAATTTATTTACTAAATGGTAAAAAACATAAGAGTCAGAAAAGTAGGGCCATTTTTCCCTAAGTTAAATACAAAACTTGTAATTTTTTTCAAATATCTGTATATTTCTCCACAGCAATAATTATAAATACGCCTAAGTGAAATATTTTATAAGTATATTTAGCTTCTTTTTAAATTAGCCTTTTCTCAATCCTTTATGAGGGCCTATTTCAAAAGAAGATGCCATAAGCAACCATTATCTCTATTTGTTTAAAAAACTATAGTGCAATTTAAAAAAAACAAAATCTTTTGACTAAATATCCAATTGCTTTAAAATAAAACTATGGCGGGATAAATTTAAAGGCATGTTTAATAAATATAAGTCCAAATCCTATATTTCTGATATTACAATATTCTATTGTGAATAATAAAGAGTGAAACTATCCAACAGGACATATATTGACCTTCATCTGTATATCAGGGGCCTAAGTCCTGACTCACACATTCAGCTTCCACTACTCACATCACCCCTGCAACTTCCAGAACCACCTTCATGTCCACTTGACCTTAGCTACCCAGTCATTCCCCAAACCATTCCACACCCAAATCTCAAGCACTCTCCCACCACAACCCCATCCTTTAGTCCTTTCTCCTACTGAATCTGTACCTTGCCCCCCCCCCAACCCCCCGCCTTCTGCCTACGTTTGAAGCACTTCTGTTCACTACTTAGCCAGGATCCCAGGATCAGAAATATCAATGGTGCTCTCCCTCAAACTTCAGGTAATGCTAAGAATCACCTGGACAGTTTGTTAAACAGATTCCTGGGTCCCACCATGAATTTTTCATTTACTAAGTCTGAAGCAAGGGCCCCAGAATTTGCATGTCTCACAAACTCCCAGAGAGAGCCGACAATACTGGTGCTCACTTCGAGTAGCACTGCTCTAAACAGTACCCTGGGTCCTTTCACCTCTTTAGCCTGACATATTCTTTACCAACTCACATTATTTTTCCCTTCTTCTCAAACTATAAAAAAAAAAAAATGAGAGAAAGCACAAATCCATATAGTTTTAGTTTTCTACAAATTAATACTCTTACCGCAGTTAAGCCTTATGCATCTCCCACGGCTAACATCCTGATCACATTCACAGAGACTGTTCTAGACTCTTCAGAACTCCAATCCCATTCCAACACAACAATTCTACCATCAGCTGCCTGCTTCACTGAGATCAAGGCATCTCACTTTTTCTCTCGACGGAACCTTACCAAAACATTTCTGAGCATCCTCATTTATTTTCCTTTCCTTCAATATCAAAGGAATCTACCTTTTTCAAAGCTAGCTGTTCTAGAGAAGAGGGCAGGGGAGCAGATTTGTGAGGAAGTAGGCTCCCTGAAACTTTTGTACCACATTTACTCTCTAGAAAAGCTAGTTCTGAGTGTATTTTTATAACGGAAGTTCAATGATATCCTCTGAATTCAGTAAGGAAACACTACATTCAGAATTCACAGTGCCTATATTATTACATGTAAAAAATGTTATAATTACAGTAAAATGTTATAACATGTAAAGGAGGGAATTATATAGTAAGTAAAAGAATAGCACTTTCATTTCTTATATAAATTCATCCAAGTTTACAAAAAATAGCTCCAAGAGTTTAATATTATTTTAATTTTATTTCAACCCATACATTAATTTTTCCAGAACCACCTGCATTATTGCTATCAGTCTTCTGGTGTTGAACAAAAAATATATTACTAAGTTCTGATATTTTCAAGTTAATTGTAATTTCTACAATATTATATTTTTTATATTTATAACAGCTGTAATGATACAAAAGAATCACATCAAATTAGAATTTGATTTGTAAAAATGCACATTTTCTAAAAACTTTAAGAGATTACTCCAATGTAATAATACCTCCAAAACAAAAGCATCTTTTTTCCCATGTGAAAGGTCCAATTCTGTAACTTCATCAGAGCTTTCTGATTGAGATCTTAAAAGCCTCGAGCGTTGTCGAGGTTCTGGGATGGGCGATCCTATAATCTCTTCAGATATCTCCTAAAAGAAATATAATTCTTTATATTATAGAAGACCATATTTTTTCAGTTTTTAAAAAATATGTATTTTTATTGATTTGAGAGAGAGAGAAAGGGAGAGGGGGAGAGAGAGAGAAACATCAATGTGAGAGAGAAACATCAATTGGCTGCCTCCTGCATGGCCCCTACCAGGGATCAGGGATTGGAGTCTGAAACCTGGGCATGTACCCTGACCGGTAACCAAACCAGCAACCTTGTGGTGCATGGAACCATGCTCAACAAACTGAGCCATACTGGCCAGGGTCAGTTTGTGTGGTTTTTTTGTAAACTGAAATCTTTTCTTTTTTTAAATTGAGGTATAATTGACATAAAACATTATATTAGTTTCAGGGGTACACATGATTTGATATTGCATACTTCAAATTGGTTTTAAATTTTATAACAAACATCTACCTGCAGGGTAGGGGGAAGTCTATAAAAATATTTAAAGTCTGTATTTAATTATAAACTTTATGACTAACCTTTTATAGAGTATGTATATGGATATTTCCTTTAACTGATAGCAGCAGCCTTGACATACTAATTCAAAAACATATATATGTCAAGACATAGCATGGCATTAGTGACATCTACTGTACAGAGAGGAAACTACGAGTAGGGAACAGGCAGTCCTACCTCATAAGGTATTTTCTGCTCAGCATGTAAAAGCCTTAATAGGCCATGGCGGTTAGGCTCAGAGGTTCAAGCATCAGCTTGCGGATGAAAGGGTCATGGGTTTGACTCCTGGTCAAGGGCACGTGCCTGGGCTGAGGGTTCAGTCCGTGGCCCCAGTCAGGGTGGTGAGGGAGGCAACCAATCGATATGTCTCTCTCACATCACTGTTTCTCTCTCCCTCTTTCACTTCCACTTTGTCTAAAACAGCGGTTCTCAACCTTCCTAGTGCCATGACCCTTTAATACAGTTCCTCATGCTGTGGTGACCCCCAACCATAAAATTATTTTTGTTGCTACTTCATAACTGTAATTTTTCTACTGTTACATCTTAGGTGACCCACAGGTTGAGAACCACTGGTCTAAAACATCAGTGGAAAAGTATCCTCAGGTGAGGATTAACCAAAAAAAATTAAAGAATTAAAAAATAAAAGTCCTAATTGTCCACAAAGAATTAAAGATTTATGTCTCCAAATATGATTCTACTCTTATATATCCTTTCTTATCCCGTAGTAGTTCTTCAAAGTTCCCCATAGTAAAATGAGGAATACGAATATATGTGTGTATGTATAAATAATACATATATTACCTATGTATTTGCTCTGTAACTTATTAAGCTATAGAAACTTTGGTAATTACAATAATGATCTTTTTGAGGTCAGTGTATGGTGCAATCCTATATGGGTTCATCAAACTTTTCCTATTACACAGCCAAAGATCAGAGCTAACTAGAGGTTCTAAATATCAGTTGGAAAAAAGGAATATTGGGAGAATGTGGATATGTGAGCACAAATGCAAAAGGCATCGCTTATTGTTAGTGTAGCATACTTACCCTTTTAAAAAACAAGTTATAGGAAAAAGCTTTTCCACAATGTAGCTTTAAATGTTCCTTGCTAGCACATACCTTACATAAGACTATCACCAGTTTCGTAACACAGCTATCTATAGAGTACTTTCGCAACCATTTATCTTGTTTGCACTCCAAATTAACCTGCCCTACATAGATTTGACAGGGTGCCTATCACAATGAATACAAATTGAGAAAGAGCTGCAGTTCAGAGGTAAAGCAGTTACCTAGGCTTGAAAACTATTCAGTGAAGAACTTGTCTGGATCAGTTTTTTGACTCCAGTGCAATGTTCTTCCCAACAGAAACCATCCTTTTAAAAATAATTTTATAGTAGTTTAAAATTCAGTTATGCCTCTGTTCATTGCATCATGGACCTAATAAATGTAACTATCTGAAATTGAATATAGCTTATAGCCATAATGAAGTTTCACCACTGGTACTGTTATTCCAAATAAAAGTTTTACACCTCATTTTGATACCTTTGATTGACTATCTCCAGTTAAGTGGGACTGCACCTCTGCATTAGAAATGTTGTTCAATGTGTTAAGAAAATCAAACAACAGTATTTACTTCAGCTGGGGCTACCTTCCTAAGATAAGGAACACTAATCCACATTTTCAGGGTGGCCATACATATTTTAGAAAATTGAAAACTCAAAACTGTAATATGAGTAGTGGCCTGGTACACTGACTTTTTCAAACAAATTCTGAGATGTTATACTAAAAGACTGTAATGTATTCAGTATCTGAAATTAGAAAAAACCATAGTAGAATACTAATAAATTGATTAGTCCTCTTGTAGAAATAGTCATATTCAACATATGAAATCCATATATGCTGATATTTTTAAACTCATAAAAGATGTATTCCTTCCTCTAAAATGTAACACTAAAATAGTAGCTCAATAAATATGTACTGAGTACATGAAGTAACTTAATTCACATTCTCTTAATATGTCTCCGTCTTCAAGGGGCTTGTCTTATAGTAAAGGAAGAGGGACATGTAAAAACTAAGTGCAATAATATGTAACAGGCACTATGACAAAAGCAAATACTGGTCCAAGAGAACCACAATGGAAGAGGCAGGTTCTGTGGGAGGTCAGGATAAGTACAGAACCGATAAACACTGATATACAAAAGTTCAGCTCATATCATTAGAACTGACACATGGAATCCTGAAGTATAGCTTTGCAAATCATTCTCCCCAACAGGAATAAACACTATTAATAAATGTTTAAATATTAAATATAATTATAAAAGAAAAATACTTATAGCAAACAAGCAGTCAATAAAGTGTTGTGCAGAAAACTTTTACAAAGCTTATATAAGTAATTATATTAACACATTCACATTTTCAATGAATTTAAAGAAGCTCTGTATCAAGCTGTAGCAAGCTTCATAGGTAATAATATAAAAAGATACAAATGTAACATGTAATCAATATAAAACATATCCAGAAGATAGTTTACATTCTTTTCCATTTACTAAGTCTTCAGAATCCAGTGTGTATTTTACACCTACAGTACTTCTCAGTTCAGACAAGCCACACATCAAGTGCTTAAGAGCCACATGTGACCAGTGCCTACCAAACTGAACTGTGTAGCTCCAGTCATATCCATAAAATTCCTTCCAGCTTAATAACTGCTAGAAAGCTCTAAGTTTGAAGCTGGAATTCAGGTGCACTGTTCCAGAAGAGCAACCAAAATTCAATAGCATATATGAAATAAAAGAATAAAAAAAACAACAATAATGTTATCCAAACACTTTCCTTTAACAGAAGTATTTCATTATCAGAGATTCATAAAAACAAGTAGTTTCATTCTAACTCCAACGCATCTTTCTTCCAATTCAGATTGAAGCATCTGTAGAGTAGGAGCGTTGTGATACCGAATGAAAAGTTGGAGAAGACTGACTATGGAAATGACTGGTATGAAAATTGTAAGAAAAATGCCAAAATTAAAAACTAAAACTCCATTCTTTACATTTTTACCACAGATAAACAATCTTTTTTTTTTTACTAAAAAAGAACATTTTAAGCCACTTATTGAGTCATTCAATAAGTACTTATCAAAAATACCAGAAGGAACTGTTTTAGGCATTAGGGTTACAGTCCTGATGGAACTTCATTCTACTGGGTGCAACACGCAATTGACAAAAAAGAAGGATAGGAAATAGTAAAAACTAATGAGAGAGTTACAATTTTTTTTTTTTTTTTATCCTTACCCGAGGACATTTTTCGATATTTTGTTCAGATAGAGTGGGAAGAAGAGAGAGAGAGAGAAACATCAACGTGAAAGGGAAACATCGAGTGGCTGCCACCCACACGACCCAACCAGGGCCGGGGACAAACTGCAACCGAGGTACGTGCCCTTAGCAGGAACCGAACCCGGGTCTCTCTGGACCGCAGGCCGACGCTCTAACCGCTGAGCCAAACCAGCCAGGGTGAGAGTTACAATTCTTAAATAAGGTGGTCAGAGTCAGCCTATCTAAAAATAAGACATTTGAGCACAGATGTAAAGGGAGGTAAAAGAATGAGTAATGAAGAGAACGTATGTAAACAGTGAAAAAAAATCTTTAATGTCTAAAGATAACCTAAAAATATACTAACATGTAAACAATAACTTATGTATTCAAAATGTAGATTTAGTTTACTTACTGGAGGATTGATTTCATATAACTCCTTATTCTTAGCAATTGTGTCATTTATCTTCTTTTGCATATGAGATATGTGCTGTTCGTAGGAGCCATCATTAGGAGTCTTCCCAGCAATCTGAATTCCACCAGGCATTGGTAATGCTGCTAAATATACACCTGTGGCCGACTTGTAAAAATAATGGGGAAATAATTTTTTAAAAATCAAAATAACAATCACCCTTAAGTTTTCATATTTAGGAATGTAGTCTTTGCTCTGTAGGAAAAAGGTCATTAACATTAGTGGATGCACAGGCCATATGTGAATGGGCACAGCAAAACCTAACTGCTAACAGCGGTTGGTTGCTTCGGGTGAGACCTAGGGTAAGTGGCAACAGCAGGGGAAGGAGGATTTACTTTCCACTGCATACCCAAGTGTACTATAACATTTTTATCTTATGGTTGAAAAAAAATAAATTGCATTGAAAAAGTTTAGGAAAGATAAAAAGTTGTTTAAAGTAGCCCTGGCCAGTGTGGCTCAGTTGGTTGAGCATCATCCCATGCACCGAAAGGTCACCAGTTCGATTCCCTGTCAGGGCACATACCCAGGTTGCGGGTTCCATCCCTGGTCAAGGGGCATATGGGAAGCAACCAATCAATGTTTCGCTTTCACATCGATGTTTCTCTCTCTCGCCCTCTCCCTTCCTCTCTCTCTCTCTCAAATATATATATATATTTGTATTACATGTATTAGAATTTGTTGAAAGTTAAGTTTTTCATCAATGAGTGGACAATTTACCTTTTCTGGGACAAAAGTAAAAGGGAAACTTTTGCAAAGCAAATGAAGATACTTAAGTGCAGAAAGAACAGGGAACTTACTCAAGATCACACTGTCAATAAATGTGGAGAAGAAACTTGAATCTATTTCTCACTCCAAAACCCAAGAACTTTTCACTATACCATGCTACCTCCATAACAGCCAAGAAAGAAAACTTTACCCGATACAGATTTATTTTATTTTATTTTATTGGTATGTGCCCCTAGCGGGAACCGAACCCAGGACTCTCTGGTCCACAGGCCAACGCTCCAACTGCTGAACCAAACCGGCCAGGGCCAGATTTATTTTAATTGTTTAATTAAAGAACTATTAATTTCTGACTCTGTAACAGTACTATATGCCATTGATACTAGAAAACTATTAGGGGAAATACAAAACAATACACACACACACACACACTACACACCTATGTGAATTTATGTTTACATATGCTTATATAAACAAAGCAAAAAAGATACATAGATGTATAAACATCAAATTGTTAACATCAAAGGAGTGAGTTAAGAGAAGACAATTTTTTAAACTCTGGATATTTGTGACCAGCCTGTGTGGCTTAGTGGATTGAGTATTGTCCCATGGACTGACTGAGAGGTTGGATTCCTAGTCAGGGCACATGCCCGGGTTGCAGGCTCAATCCTCAGTTGAGGGGGAGGATAGGTGGCAGATGATCGATGTTTCTCTCTCACATCAATGTTTCTATCTCTCCCTTCCTCTCTCTCTCTCTCTCTCCAAAAAACAAAAAAAAACAATAAAAATATATTTTTTTCTTTATTAATTTTAGAGAAAGGAAAGGAGATGGATAGAGAGATAGAAACATCAATGAGAGGGAACATCGACTGGCTGCCTCCTGCATGCTCTTCACTGGGGATCGGGCCCACAACCTGGGCATGTGCCCTGACTGAGAATCAAATCAGCAACCTCTAGGTGCATGGGTCAATGCTCAACCACTGAGCCATACCAGCTGGGCAATAAAAATATATTTTTAAACTCTGGATATTTGTGTATTTTGGATTGAGTTATTATTATGATTTCAAAATTAATCAATTGTCAATATTATAAAAGTCCATCCTCAAAAGTGTGTGCTATTCTATGATGAAATCTGGGAAGTAGATGAAATTGATCCTCAGAAGCTCTCCCTCCTGGTTTGTTTATTAGTGTCGATGACTGCACCTATGATCCAATTTCTGATGCTCAACCTCAGAATACCCTCTGTGCCATGTGACACCTTAGTGTACCATCTCTAACACTTTTGAACTACAGTGGCTAATAAGGCAACAGCCCACAATAGTTGAGAACACAGACTCGAACTAGACAGTCCTGGGCTTGAAACCCAGTTTCAGTACCTGTAACCATATCACTTTGGACAAGTCTCAACCTATCACAGCATATATTTTCTCCTCTTGTAAAGTAAAGATACTATTATAGTTCTTCTGGAGTAGCACAGTGCCAGACACTTAGTAGCACTCATCAGAGATGAACTATCATTGAAGCTACTCTTGGGACGTTGAGTGCACAAGCTAAAAACACACACAAATATCAAAATCTCAAACAGCTATAATTAGTGTCACTAATGATCAAGAAAAAAAAAGATTAGTAAGAATCAGAAAAGCAATATTCGAGTCAGGTATTAAAGAATTATACCAGGATCACACAATCGTTTCCTAGGGTTCAACCATCAAAAGTGTTTGACAGAGTTGGCACAATGTTTCTTAAACTTCTGACTATGAATCAAGCTTTTAGTTCCTACAGAAACCCACCAGTAACCACAGTTTTGTATTTAGCCTAATTTACACATTTATGTTAAGTCCTCACTAAGCATGTGAGTTTTTAGATGAATGAATTATAATGAATAATTTTTTCCTCAAGTTAATCTAAATAGCAAATATTTGAATATAAATCAGATTACTTTCATTAATCATTAAAAATTCCTCTAGGTAAAAAACTGCAATTACATAATTAATCATCATACAATTATCCTCTACAAACAGAAATTTCCATATTTGCTCTTATAGAAAAAAATGGATGAAGCAAGAAACAACGTGGCATTTTATGTACAAATGCATACTGAGAAAAAGGACCCAAATTCCATCAATTTCTTAAGTTAAATTTCTATGCATGTTCAAAAAGACAGCAGAGAATCCCAAATTAAAAAGTTCCAGTGACATAAAAATTCTGGCTAGCAAAAGTTATCTAGACTATGAGAGGATTTCCATAAGTACGTTGCTCAGATTCCATCTGATCAATATATATATTGCAGGCATCTCGTTCTCTGGGTTTCAGGCTATTTATAAAGGTAGCCCATGCTTTCCCATCAACAACTTTCTAGTCAGAACTTGTTTTCTAACAAGCAAAGGTAAACATTAGGCTGAGATAAAGAGCTTTCCACTGCCTCAGAATTTATCAGCACTTAAGAAACATTTTATTGCATATTCTACTGTCTTCTGACCATAGACGTACATTTACAATGAAACTTAATTCTCTGTCCAAAAGCAGGCAGTGCCTCACAGGTATTGTTTTACTTTCTCCATTAAAACTAAAGATTATTTTAGTCCTTTCCGACTCAGGAGTGATTTTGCCCCATAAAGGACATCTGGTAATATCTGAAGACACTTTTTGTTGTCACACTGGAGGGACATTAGCATCTAGTGGGCAGAGGTCAAGGATGCTGCTAAATATCCTACAATGAATGAGACAACCTGCTACAAGAAAGAGTTATCCGGCTCCAATTCTCAACAGTTCCAAGAAGGAAAAGCCCAGTTTTAGAAATGTATAAACAACAATCAAGTTCAGTACAAGGGGGGTCAACTTACTAAGCAAGCTGCACATGATAATTTTTAGAAATCGGACTACTGAAGTTATGGTCAGAATAAAAAAATATAATGACAACATAAATACCAATCAATCAATCAATAAATATTTTATATGATGATTAATTTAATTTAAAATAATATAGAATTTTATAATTACATATTTTAAAAAATATTTGAAAGCCTATGACCAGATTTGTTACTTCTTATATCTCCAACCCTTAAAACTCTTGATGCCAGTTTCTTTAGATAAGTCTTTTGAAAAGACTCTGAATCACATAAAAAAATCTGCTACAACTACAGGAATCACAAAAACAAAACATGCAAACTTACCGCTAAGCCCATCAACATGTTCTCACCCACTGTGATCTGTATTCTCAGTCCAAATAAAGCATTCATCCCTGTGAGTTTTAGTTTATTCATCAGCTGAGTATGCACTTCATATTCCATGAATGGCAACAGATTACTGATAGCAGTGGCGTTTGCTTCTGCCTGTGCCTTCTTTTTTAAGCGACATAACCTGTTAACAATGAATTTAGTCAGCGGATGGTATTCTTTTTTTGAAAAGTGTTATTCTTTTTTTAATCTTCACTCAAGGATATTTTTCCATTTATTTTTAGACAGAGTAGGAGGGAGAGGTAGAGAGAGAGAGAAGGAGAGAAACAGAGAAACACCGATGTGAGAGAGACACATCGCGGACCAGGGCCGGGAACCAAACTGCAACCGAGGTATGGCATTGAACCCATGACTCTAGTCCATGGGCCCATGCTCTAACTACCAAGTCAAACCAGCCAGGGCAGTGGATAGTATTCTTAGTACCATCTTAAGAAATGTCCAATTTTTTTTTTCATTGATTTTTAGACAGAGTAGAAGGAGGGAGGGAGTAGGAGAGACAAGGGAAGAGAGAGAGAGAGAGAGAGAAACACTGATGTGAGAGAGACATGTGAATGGTTGTCTCCTGCATGGTCCCTGACCAGAGCCTGGGATCAAACCTGAAACTCAGGTAGGTGCCCTTGACCAGGAATTGAACCCAAGACCTTTCCATGCACAGGCCGATGCTCTAATCACTGAACCACATCAGCCAGGGCAAAAAATGTCCAATTTTTAAGACTTTCTAAGAGTGTGTTTGAGAAATATTTACTTGTTTCAAATAGGCTTAATTAAGTTATATCAATAATCATTCTGTCATTTTTTTCACTGTATATGTTTTTGCTAAAAATCTATTTCGACAACAAAAAAAAAATCTCAAAATCTCTAGAAATGAAATAAATACTAATCACGGATATAATTTAAAATCTTAGTTTCATAACTCCATGTGATCATATGATGAATGGATAGCACAGAAAAATAGTTAATTTAGTCATTAAAAAAAATAAACTTATAAAAGTGTAAAACTTGAATATCAACCATGTGTCAGGCACTTTCCTAGGTGTTGAGCACGAATCAATGAAAACAATACAAAGTAAAGTCAATCAACAATTCATTTTGGAACAAGCATGAAATGTCTACGACACATCAAAATGAAACGTGAAACAGCAGGTAAGTATATGGGTCTGAAGCTCAGAAGTTCCAGACTGAAATGATAAACTTGGGAGTCACAGACATAGATAGCATATGAGTTCAACTACAGAGAATGTTCTGAGAAGAGGGTCTAGAGACCCATGGCTCTGAAGGATCAAGAAAGGAAGCAGAATCAATAAGAAGACTAGACACTATTCATAAAGATAGAAAAAAGCAGAAGGTATGGAGTTGTGACATTAAAGAAGTTTCTAAAAGGAGAAAAGGATCCACTGTATGACTCTGCTGAGATGTCAGGTAAGGTGAGGACAGAAATGCTCAATGGACTTGGTAACCTGGAAGTTGTTAGTAACCTAGACAATTAGAGCTGTTTCCTATATGCCTACCACAAGTTAGTATCTCCTACTCCATTACATTTTCAAAGGAACTCTTAACAGCTAAGTGACATAATAAGAGAAACAATACATAGCACTAAAGAAAAATGTCAACTTCCAAAATGTATTATATATTTAATGTCATTAAAGCATACTGAGTCACATCCCTAGCCTTCAACAGGTTAATAATCCTCATAATAATAAAAATATATATGGAATTTAAATGTTTAAAACTAATATAAACCTACTTAAGTTTTATAATGAGGGGATTTTCCTCCCAATTTTCCATAGGATAAAATACAAGGTTCAGCTGGAACTGCCCAGGCTGTCCAGGATTCCAGGTAGGAAAAGAGCAGATATCTGAAAATAGGTCTGTTTGGCTCCATACCCCATACTCTTTCAGGGACCCCAAATATTGTTTTCACAAACATACCTTGCTTGAATAAGACAACCTTTTCCAATAACTGTTGCATCTATTGGGAGGTCTATAGTTGTAAAGAGAACATCAGGAACTTTTTGTTTCCTGCAGTTATAGCAGTATGTGAGATGAGCTGGAAATGGCATATTCAGTTCATCATATGGTATATGGCAAAATCCACAGCCTGCAGGCAAGTTTTCTTCTAGCCTATATGAATACATTAAGAAAAATAAGGCATTCTTGAAAATTCTGCACTTTTCAAAAACAATTTTTATATTCATAGTACTTGTGTACAAACTATACCACAATTTTACTACAGTAGACTTTAAGAGTACCATTATAACTGATGAGAATTACAAATGACTATGAAATGAGAACCATATGAGAGAAAGCAGAACATCATTTTTCATCTATTTGTATCTGTGATGACTTACCACATGACTAAAACCACTATTATTCCAAAGTTTTTTCTTTGGGATACAACATAAAAACAAACAGTTAGACAATGAGGATGACATTTTCTTACTGTATGATAAATACAAATGTAATTTAAGAATTTCTAATAAAAACATCTTAACCAGAAAACCTAACAATATGAAAAAATCATGCTTAAAAGTGAAATAATTTAAGAAAAAAAATGAAAGTAAAAAATAGGCATACTTTAAATTTTCTAATTTCCAATGATTGTTTTTAATACCAATTTCATTAACAATATACATGTTACACATAAACCACAAATGAACAACCCACAACCTTCCCATTCATTGTAAAATGTTGTTGTAATATGTGGTTTACGAATTCATTTTAGAATGATTAAGTATTTTTTCACTCATTAAACCTGAGGAAATCAGGAGAATGAATACGGAAACAGAGAAAGCTCCACCGAGAACCCCAGAATTTCACCTAGACTTATCTTCTAAGGTTCTGGAAAGATATGGGTTATTAATTCTCCATAATCTAAAGCAACCCTTTAGCAGTTGAAACTTGGCAAGTAGACAAATTTTTAAAAGAAAAGGAAACTCATACTATACCTACAAGAAGTCAGGCTTTCTACAAAACCACTGTATATGTTATTTCACTGAATTTTCACAAAAACCCTCTAAATCAAATTAAATTACTTCCAGATATTATTCTTTTATTACTGAGATACCATTCTGGTATATTAGTGATAACAGGAAAATCAGCTATATCTGAGTGAAGCTGTGTTACCCTGAACAAGTTATTTCAGCTCTCAGAGCCTCCTCTATAAAACGGGAATAACAATATCTACCTAGAAAGGCTCTTTACATTTTTTTAAAGAGTAAGAAGAAAGCTGTAGGTAAACACACACACACACACACACACACACCCCCCCAAATAGTAATACCCAGGAGACAACAACAAAACTAGTTCCATCTGGCCTGAAACCAACATGAGATACTAAGTAACTTGCTCTGTCACACTAAGTAATCTGAAGCAGAGCTCAAAGTTTAGTGCCCATTAGTTTGAATCAAAAGCCCATGTGTTAATGGGGTGGGGTGGGGTGGGGGGACATATAAACTAGGGCAATTTTTAAATACCTTACGGAAATAGAAACATATATGGCACAACATCATAAGGCAAAAAAAAAATATATATATATATATATATATATATATATATATATATTAAAATTTAACAAAATAGGTCCAGAGGCATGGAACAGAATTACAGATCTCGATGGGGAGAGGGTTGGAGGAGACTGGAAGAGGTTAATCAAAGAATGTATATGCATAAATGCATAGCCCATGGGCACAGACAATAGTGTGGGAAAGGTTGGGTGTGGAGGGGGGTGAGTGGAAGGGGACAAAGGGGGCGAAAATGGGGAACATCTGTAATAATGCCAATAATAAATAAAAATTTATGAAAGCATTTAAAATATGAAATGTACAAAAGAGACTGTCCCTGAATATTGAGATCACAGGGAATTCTTTCCTCCTTCTACTCGATTTTTCAAATATTCTCTAGAAAGCAATAATAATTTTATATCAGAAGAAAAGAACATTTTTCTCTTTTACAAATAAAAGTATCTGTTGCATTGGACTGCCCTACACGAGAATTCACTGTATCCATCTAAGCCACACTACTGAAATAACCTACCTGCATGGGGAAGGTCATTTGTTATATTAGGTTTCTATCTACTCAAGAATAAAATCTACTGACGTGTAAGAACTATATTGTAGCACTGAGAGAACTCACTGGCAAAATTAATTTTCTCAACAGAACATTCCAATTGTTTAATATATTTCAAATGTCCCACCTTCACTTTCCTACTTATGATTTTTTTTTATTGTTGACAGTATTACAGATGTCCCCCATTCCCTGCCCCCGGCCACCTTCCACCCTACTACTGTCTGTGTCCATGGGCTGTTAATACTAAATCCATTTTAATACTAACCAAAAGACACTGACCAAGGTATTCTGTGTGCCTACCAGAGCTAGAATATTCTTTGTTACATAGACACTTAGAAAATTTATACTAAATTTGATCACATATAGGATTTTTTTATTTTTATTTTTTTGCTTACTTCCTTAACATGTACTAATACAGGGTGGGGCAAAGGTATATCTACAGTTGTTTGTATAGAAAATACAATAATGAATAAACACTGTGTTTCATATACTCACAACTGTAAATATACTTTTGCCCCACCCTTATTAATGCTGAAAAAAGTTTTGAAAAGCAAATACACATACTGTGGGGAAAGGGTTAATTAAAATTTATATTATCCAAGCAAACTCTGGTACCAAACTAACAGTCTTCTTGCATATATATTTGATGATTTCATCTGTTTATGAAAAATATTTCTGACATTTATGGAAGCTAACAGATTACAGGGACTGATAATCAAATAACCCAGAAAGTAATCTTATTTTACCTAATGCTTTCACTTATGCTTTCTCTTTTACATATACTAATAAGTTATATTTCACTTTCCATGAAGCTGTTATATATAATTTTGGTATAATATAGTGTTTTTATGGTTTTATAAATAAATAATTGTCATTATGAAAATTGTTTCATGACTTTTTTTCTGTTTTAGAGGTTAGACAATTTTAAAAAGAAAAAAATCAAATAAAATAAATTATTTCTACAATGTAACAAACAAAAAATTGTCTCTCTGAAATTTCTCAATTGGTAGTCATACATGTCACTCATCAAGATACTAGAAATAGCCCTGGCCAATTTGGCTCCGTGGTTAGAGCGTAGGCCCGCTGCAGTCCAGAGAGACCAGGTTCGGTTCCCGCCAAGGGCACGTACCTCGGTTGCAGTTTTTCCCGGCCCTGGTTGGAGTCGTGTGGGTGGCAACCAGCTGATGTGTCTCTTTCACATCGATGTTTCTCTCTCTCTTTCCCGCTCTGTCTGAAGATAAATGCAAAAAATGTCCTTAGGTGAGGATAAAAAAAACATACTAGAAATGTATAATGTGTCACACAGTGCAGATCCCAATACTTGTTGTTTGAGTTGGGTGAAAATCAGTGAAGTGCCTGGTCCTGATTTCAACACTGTCCCACTACAATCCACCCTCATAGAGAAGCCCTATCCCAGCTTTGACAGAAAAAAGTCAACCTCTCCCTTCTTTGCCCTTATGGAAAATAAGCCAGCTGCCATGACAACCTCTGTTCCAAACAGCTCTCCACGGTGCCATCCTGCAGAAATCTAGGGTTCAGTACAGCTGCCGTGCCAGATGCAGATAAAATACAGACCTCTTCACTATAAAAAAAGAAGGAAAACAAAAACAAGTTAATATTTTCAGGCAATCTAAGTTTGGAAAATGTTAAATATCAGAGCGATTACAAGACAATTTAAATTCAGGTTAGACTCTACTAAATATTAATAATATCACAGGATTACCTCCTAAACCTAGGAGAGAAAATAGAGGTAATGTAATGTTACTAAAATGGAGAGGGCAAGAATTCTTTATAAGTTAAAAATTGTAAAAGATAAAGTATAATATTAATGATAGTAGATTCCTTTAAAATATGGTAAAGCGCCCTAACCGGTTTGGGTCAGTGGTTAGAGCATTGGTCTGTAGATCAAAGAGTCACGGGTTCGATTCTGGTCAAGGGCATGTACCTCAGTTGCAGTTCGGTCCCTAGGCTTGGTTGGGGTCATGTGGGAAGCAGCCAATTGATTTGTCTCTCTCATATCGATGTCTCTCTCTTTCTCTATCTCTCCCTCCCACTCTGTCTGAAAATAAATGAAAAAATATCCTCAGGTAAGGATTTAAAATAAAATAAAATAAAATGTGCCCTGGCAAGTTTTGCTCAGTGGTTAGAGCATCGGCCCACAGTCTAGAGAGACCTGGGTTCAGTTTCTGCCGGGGCACATACCTCGGCAGCAGTTTGTCCCCAGCCCCAGCTGGGGTTGTGTGGGTGGCAGCCAATCGATGTGTCTCTCTCACATTGATGTTTCTCTCTCACTCTTCCTCTCTCTCTCTTGCTCTATCTGAAGATGAATGCAAAAAGTGTCCTCAGATGAGGATAAAAAATAAATAAATAAATAAATAAATAAATAAATGTGGTAAAGCTGATGAAGACTGAACTGTTTCAAAATAAAACTAGTAACAAACTATATTGTTGAATCAGACAATAACTCATTAAAATATATTAAAATCCTCTTTAACTTTTATTTAAACTTTTCTAAAAGCAAACTATTTAAATATCTGACACAAACTGTAGTTTAATATAAACTTAATAATAAAAAGGTGTCTGAAAAAAATACTAAATGGAGCTTAAACAACATGATTTTATATATCTGCTAAAAATTGATATTCAAAAGAATTCTTTGAATGTCTTTACTACATATTGCCAATTTGAAAGCCAAAAAAGTAAACAATCAACAGAATTATTGAAAGAGTTCACAAAGCAAATGAGAAAAATAGCAGCCTAGGGACAAAAGGCTGGAAACAAAGTGTAAATGAACCGGAAGCCTAAAAGGACATGAAAGAAATGGTCACTGGAGGAGAGAAAGACCAGGCTTAAAATGTTTACGTGGGTACTGGGAATGTCAAAAAGAATAACACAGAGTCACTAGCAGGCACTGGATCAAGGAGCTACAAGAGAAGTGATATTTCAAGGAGTTTAACACAGTAATAGTAAGTTGGATGGGTTAAAACAGAATAAATTAGTAAAGATGGGATTTAATACAAAGACTTTTTGAGGTCTAGAGGAATAGAGAAGTTTGTGTCAGATGAATTCAAGCTCTAAGTAAATAAATTGGACTCATGTCTGTGGATCTTGCATCTGTGACCTATCTCCAGCCACAATGAATCCACACCTCTGGCCTTCTCCACATGTTCTTATTTTAGCCTTGAACACCTCCCCATGCTTCTTCTCTTCATTTATATATTTTATACTCATCCCCTGAGATTCAGTTCAATCTTCAAGGTTCAGTTACTTCACTGACACTTCCTTCCAATCATACCTCTAGTCTCCAACCCTATGGGATCCCAAAGCATCCTGGGACATCTCTGTTATAAAATATATACTAATCATAATTCTCTAGTAGAATGTGAATCTGATAACAAGAACTATGTCTTTTAAAACCATATCCTTACGACTGTGACACTAAATCCATGAATGAAGCAAGACTATATATTGGGGAGTAAGGCAGGATAAGCATAATAAAGTTAGTAGTTTAACAAGAGTAGGACAACTACAATGAAAACAGAACAGTTCAAGAGAAGAATACATGGACTGCAAAAGATAAAATAGGCATGGCTCTTTAATGTCCACATTTACTACAATCTAATAATTTTTCTCTAACAATAATAATCACCACAACTGCAAGAGAATTATCCATGTAATAATTCCAGTAAGAATTATTTAAGAACAGAAGGTAGAAAATAAATAGCAAAAGGTCAAACCATTTCTAGATGATATCTATTATGAAACTTTTGAAGGAGCTGACAGTAGGGTTCAAAGATGGCAGATAATAAGTAAAGTCAGAACCTAAAGAACTAGAAAAATTCTTGGTTAAGATACAGGCCCAAACAAACCAGGGGTACATGAGCAAATGGTGTGAATGGGAAAATATTGTGATCCAAGAATGAAATCTTACAGTTTCAAATTTTTAAGAGGCAACAGTTTTGAGTGACAATGAAGTCAAAGTATGGATAAAAGTCAAGAGGGGATAGAAGACTTAATAATGAGAAAGTACAATGCTAGGGTGATTGAAGGGAGATAATCACATTTAACTGGAGGAGATGGCAGAGGAATTAAGACTGGCAGAAGATTGTTTTGGAGATAGAAAAGTCTATTATTATTATTATTTTTTTAATCCTCACCTGAGGACATTTCTCCATTTTTTGTACAGATAGAGTGGGAGGAAGAGAGAGGAAGAGAGAGAGAGAGAGAAACATCGATGTGAAGGGACACATCGAGTGGCTGCCACCCGCAGGACCAACCAGGGCCGGGGACAAACTGCAACCGAAGTACGTGCCCTTAGCGGGAACCGAACCCGGGTCTCTCCGGACCGCAGGCTGACGCTCTAACCGCTGAGCCAAACCGGCCAGGGCGAGATAGAAAAGTCTAAACTGGAGCAGCATGGACTTTAAAAGAGAAGAGGTTGTTCAAATGAAAGGCGGGAAAAAATGGTTTTGAGAATTAAGGGTATAGAAGTCCCTTAATTACCTGGCAGAGTTAGGGAGGATGATTTGTTAGCAGGAGAAAGTTAAGTAACACTTAGTAAAAAGAAAGTAAAAAGAGTTTCGAGATAAGCTTTAAAGACTCAAGGCAGTTCATTTACAATAGGTCAAGGGCTCCAAAGATCCCAGAGGAAGAAGTTAGCAGAGTCACAAAATGGAATAAAATTAGTCTAGAGTTAATACTTGCTATGTGCCAGTATTATATTCTCAGTCAATGTACAAGTTGAGGCTCAGAGCAGAAGAGTAACTTTCTCAAAGTTTCACAGCAATTCAGTGGCAAGATGGCATTTGATCCTCAGGCTGACGTACGCTAAAGCCCAAGCTCCTGGATCACTCTGCTATTCTTCTCTCTATATTTGAATGAAGCTTTTCCCCTTTGTGATGACAATCTGTAACTTACAGCATCTAGAAAAGCAAGTTGTTGTTATCATTTACCAGATGCTAGTTGATTCACTGTAGCCCACTACAGCATGACAGCCTAATGCTTTAGCATGTGATTTTATTTCTTGTCTGATTTCTGCCCACCACGCATCGCGAGTTTCTGGTTCATCTGAAAAATAAATTTTAAATCAGTTTACTACTCAACAGCACATTGTCTATATGAACAAGGAATGTTTAAAATAAACATACTCTGGAAAGCAAGAAAGTACCATTCCATAATAGATTTTAAAACTTCACATTTTTAAAATACTACTTCTCAAAAGCTTACCATTATAATTTAATGTTACTTCTCAAAAAGTTTAACATTTTAAACTTGATTGCTAGAAAATAAACCACCTAGTTCTATTTGCTTTATTACTTTAAGGGACATCTACAGGGATATATTTTATTAGATACAACTTAAAATGTAGACCAGACTTTTCAGATTCAAATCTTAAACTGAGAGGATATCCTATATCACACCTCACTGGGAGAATACATCATGAGTCATATCCATAAATTTAATTTACATTCAGATTTCATTTCCTGGAACCTATTTTTTATAACCCACTATATTCTGGATTCTCTCCAAGGCAAAGATTTGTCAATGTTAAAAAAAGAGGGATAGAAAACCATCTCTAGCTATGCTTCTAAAGAGACTTGGGTCCTAAAGCAGAGACCAAAATATAAGGGGACTAGCCAACTCAAAATTGAGGGGGGTGGGGAACATTTAAAAGATTAATACAAATAATTTGGTCGCTGTATATAGGGACAAATTTCAGACAGAACATTAAAATTTCACATATGGTTCTGTAATTAAGAAAATGCCGTAAAATCACAGAACTGCATTTTATTACCATAGAGGAATGGAATATTGCTTTGTAATGGAGCATTATAAATGGAGCATCTGTCACACATACTTCCTAATCACTTGCACTGAGCTGCAAACTACTGGTGAACAGCAGCTGCAAATTATAGTAACTTTTTATGTATAAAGATGTTAAAAACAGAAACAATCTATAAAATTTGTTTCTTTTTGTTGCCAATTCTGTTGGGATAGAAAAAAACTTAACCAACTCTAAATAGGAAGCTAAGCTCTTATTGTAAATTTTCTAAATATAAGGCACTATTAAAACTGAAAATAAAACAATCCCCCAAATTTCTGCTTTGAATTTCAGTACATAACCATTTTCAAAGTATGTTTTGCAAAATAAGAATAAGTAGAATTATACTCACTAGTGAAACGCTGAAGACAGCAAAGTAAAGGAAGGTTAAAAGGCTTACTGTGGCCCACACTCCTATGGTGTAATTTTGTTTCCTCCACCGGGAGGAAGGAGATCAACAAAAGGGAGAAATGAGGAGATAAAGGCCAGAACTACCTACCAATGATGCCAGCCACTTCTTGAATTAAAGTTTTGGCTCCAAGACAAAGCTACCCTAAAACTTTCTTTCAGAGGAAAAGGAAAAAAAAAAAAAAAATGCAGACTCCAGGAAACTGAGAAAAAGATCAAAGTATGAGAAAAATAAAGAAGGAAAAGAAATAGAAAAGACTACAGTATGGTGTTAGCAACCAATATTATGAATATTAGAAATGTGTCTGAGAAAATTAGGAGGCCCTATTTTGCACATATGCTATTATGTTTAAGAATTTCTTCATATTTCTAACTGAACTGCAGACATAAACGGCACAAAACACTTTCAAATACATTCTCTTTTTCTTTTTAAGACATACATGTTTCCAGACCAATTTGGACTTCTATTTAACATCCTCCTTTCCTAATAGGGAATTTTTATATTGTAAGACAAACTTAAACACTCAAGTAATTGCACAATCTATCAAATTATTTATTCTCTGAAAACAGATATCATAAATAATAATATAAATATTTCTGTTTAGAAAATAATTTTTCTGAAAAATTGTATAAAGTAAAAAGTCTAACTTTTCTTAAATGCACTAGTAGGGCCTGCTATTTACTTTTTATATCTTTCTGCAAATTTAAACTATTATTTGCTAAAACAAATTATACACTATGTTTTTATAAACATATATTTTGTCACATTAGGTGTGCCTATATCTGTGCCACAAGTAATACATGGTAGCTTTTCTATTTTTAAATGAATTTTACAAGTAATCCATAACATTGTTTTTTAATTAATGAAAATGGAGGAAGCCACTTAAAGTCCAAGATATATTTATTGAGAAATAGGCAGCATATCTAAATGGAAAAGTATGCAATAATAATTACTATGAGATACATGTAATCACATAGAATACAAAGTTTATTTACATCAAACTTACCTTGGTATAACACATGAAATAATCAGATAATTAAACCAAACACTATGAGAGAATAGGTGGCTGATTAAAAAAAAAAAAAAAAAAAAAAAAAGCTGAATGCAGCACAAGTGGAGCATTCATATTCTTCTGACAAGTTCACAAGCAGCCTTTATTTTGACACACGAGCCACACAGTTGCACATGGGGATGCCACTGTTGTAATTATTTACAAGTTCAATAAAAGCTAACAAGTTACATAACATGGGAGCTAAGGAAGCAAATGGCATATGTCCACACTCCAAAGAATTTCTTAAATTTGGTTTTTGGCTAAAGCAAAAGCTCAAAGAACAAAGGGTTTTGCAAAGCGGATTCAGCCGACAGGAGCCAGAAACAGTGGATATTTTGGCGCATGCTTGGATCAGGTGACAGTACAGACCGAAAACTATGGCAGCTCACTGAAATGGTTACAGAAAGTAATGGCCCTAGACTCTCGGTGAAAGCAAGGCAAGCATACAGTAGGGAGCACTTAATCACAAACTAGTCGTTGAAGTAACAATAATTATCTACAACTGTAAGCAAAAAGCCAAAGGATGATTTTTTTTTTTTGGCTATTAAATTTAGGGGTTGCTTAATTAAAATAAAACTAAGGTTAATCAATTTATTTAATATTAAAGAAAAATTAATCTTCAACACCTACATCATACTTATACCAGAGAAGAGCCAGAGAATATTGAGAAGTAGTAATTATGATTCAGCCTAACTTATTACAACTAAAAATTCACAAATTATAGTATTTAACTGCTACAATGGAATTTTGAAAGCTTAAAAACTACTAGCTAACATTCTTATAGAAAACACATTAGTGAATTTCAATTGTTTTATTCATCCTTCATAACTCAAAAATTAAGGATCTACTATATTTATATAAACAGCAGAACAAAGCGTCTGGCTTAAAAATTTATGGCAACTATATATGCCATACATAAAACTAAATACAATTTAGTCATCTGAGGATGTACACCTGAGATGTTAAATTGATGACATTTCAAAGATGTTAAGAAAAACATATCTTCACTAGAAATACCATGTTCCTCTCAATAATCTATATAATTATTTATAATTATAAAGATATCATTTTAGGAGATAAAAATTTATTTATTATACAAGTTATATTTCATACTATTTTGTTTGTCTTCTATTAGTCAAACTTCATAGATAATATCATAAATCTTTTACTATATCTTTTTAATTGTAGGCACAAACTCAGCTCTAGATTAGTATCTCACTGATCCCTTTTTTAAAAGTAATGTCTGCACACTTGGGTTGACATCGCAATGATTTCATTTTGCTGCTGTTACTTTCTAGAGTATACCAATAGCTTGATATCTTGCCATCTTTTTTGCATTTTATCTTGTTTCTGAAGTGTAGGTGAAACTGGTGAAGGTTCCTAATATTACAGCAATAGTTTGTATCTTAGGAAGTAAAAAGGTAAACAACTCAACACAACATGCCTTTGTAAAACTTAATCCCTTTGAGATTTTAGGCAATCATGCACTTGCAACTAAGAAATCAATAACTACCTAAACAGTTAAATTTAGTTCTATTTTTACATAGCTCTGGAAAAATTCTGCCCTTAAGAATCTTTTCATCTGGTTGAAAGAATAAAGAAAATGGACAGTTATTCAATCTAGTTTTTAAATGAACAAACAAATTGTTAGGTAGGATCAAATATAAGTTTGTAATGCATTTATGTTCTATCTTGTAAGTGGACAGCATAAAATGCTACATTCTCAAATACCTGAAAGAAATATTCTAACCCAAAACAATCTTTGAAGAGGATAGATTTTCCCTAATGAAACAGCAAAGAGAGTTGAGGTTCAAGGGAGTATACAACCTCAAATTGGGTAGGGATTCAGTTCCAGACCAGGAAGAAGTGTCTTACTATAAAGAGAGTGATGTGCAAATTCAGAACAAACATCAAGATGTAGTAATTTAGGATGTTAGGAGGTAAAATTAAACTGGAGTTCCTTATTATTTGTAAAAGAACAAGTCATAAATGTAATCTTCTCTTTAATTGTGAAATTAAACTCTTCATATATAAAGACCAATTATATTATATATAGAAAGAGAAGATCATACTAATGTAATGAATATCCAGTTGTATTATTATACATATAAAAAGTGAAATTTCACAATTAAGATTACCTAATTTTTATAGACAATAAAAAATGGATAGTAATAAATATTGAGTGACATTATATATAGAGAAAATTACATATACATTTATATGCTACTTTATATATGAAGAAAAGTTCACAAAGCATACATGCTATATTTATGCCTTCTTGAATTCTACAGGGTGGGGCAAAACTGGGTTGACAGTTGTGAATACACAAAACATAGAGTTTATTCTTGTATTATTATTTATTAGTTATTGTATTATTTTCCATATGAACAACTATAAACCTACTTTTGCCCCACCCTGTATATATCTACTTCCTAAAAACCTTATTAAAATACTAAAAACTTAAAGCTGCTTAACTACTTTAGTTAGGCTTAATTTGCACATCTACTCATGTACACCTCTCAGATGTAGTAGTAAGAGTAATTGCTGAGATCATCAGTAGAATTCAATTTCCAACAAAGCTATCTCCATTTAACTAATACACACGCGCGCACGCGCGCGCGCACACACACACACACACACACACACACAAAGCAAAACAGTATAAAAAGTAGCCTAGACTCTGTCAATAGGATCTCTGGCTGAAGAATGGTGCTCCCAATCTCTAACACTGTGCATAAGACATGGCAAGCACTCCATGACTATCCACTAAATTAAAAGGCTTTTAT